AGATGACTTGTGGCCGAGTTGACTTGTGGCCGAGTTGATTTGTGGCCGAGTTGACTTGTGGCCGAGTTGACTTGTGGCCGAGTTGACAGAAGCCGAAATTTTTGTGGCCGAGTTGACTTGTGGCCGAGTTGACTTGTGGCCGAGTTGACTGTGGCCGAGTTGACTTGTGGCCGAGTTGACTTGTGGCCGAGTTGACCTGCACCCATTATCGGTAGACATCTTGAAGTGATGACAAACGTTGCGAATCAGCGGTGCGTAACCAACAGAAATAAGATAAGCTTTTGGGATGATTTTCTGACATCATGTTATTTAAAAAATCATAACTCCATAATGGGGCGTCGTATCCAAAAAAAATTTCCAGCAAAATTTTCTTACTTAAAAGACTACTCTACACCATTATATGATTGAAAAAAAATAAAATTGAATAATGTCTTTGACCTCTGAAATCAAGATGAAAGAAGAAAAGCCTATCTATCTAACTAAGTAGTTCCGAATATACTTTTGATGCAGGCCCATTTAAAACATTATTATGGTATATAAAGTGCTGTGGGCCTATGAATCCTCTTATTACAGTTTACATATTCATTTTTTAGTGAAAGTTTTTTCATGCAAATATAGTAGACCAAAGACTAAGCAAGGCCGGGGCCTACATCAGGGTTTTAGCCAGAAAAACGAAATATGCCATTTAAAATGGAAGCCAGTGGGTGTGAAAAATTAATTGTTAGTTTCAGTGTTTCACGTCCAGGATGTAAAATAATTTTTTTGCCGAGGGTATTTACTATTTGCTTTTTATTATCCTACTGTACTAATGGTTAACAGGCTGGTTAAAATATTTTTTTTTTTTTTATAAACGAAGTAAAATGAATCTTTGTAATGTATTTCTGTCATTTATGTTCCCACCTCTTCTTAGGCTTGACAGTCCTTATTTTTATTTTCCATGGTAAAATGAATTTTTTTTTTTTTTTTTTTTAAATAGCAAGATAGTAAATTTTTTTTATGAGGCTCCAAAATGTGATGAAGACGTGATGTGGTGAACTAGCAATTAATTTATTTGGCCTTAGAGTATTTAGTGACAACCATAAATCCTTTTCTGACTTATACAAAAGACAAACATAAACAAGATGCTAGGGTGTAGTTCAGTAGGCCTACATTTAAAACTAAATGCACATAAGGTCATGAGAAAAAAAAATGTACAGAAATTGAACCTAGTATTGTGGGATTGGAAGGCAAGCAATATATCCTAACAACCAAGCTGCTGCTCCATTCAATATGGCTGAGTGTGATAGCAAATAATAAATTTGAAAAAGAAAACAAATACCGTGGGCATCATTCACGTGTCAAAGCCATAGAGGGAGTATACAGTAAAATCATTCTATGATCGTGGTAGAAGGAGTATCTGAAAAAAAAAGTCTGAGAGTGCCATTTCCAGCCATAAATTTTCTTGCCTCAGTCTTAACCATAGTGGGGCTGAGGTGGTCCAGACCCTTCATCTGTGAAAGTCCCTCCCTCGGACCCCTCTCTTTCGAATTCCTGGATCCAACACTAATACTAATAGTAATACACAGCTGTGAATGTGTTTACTTTAGTGTCAAAAAATATCTCAACTTGTATCAAAAGTGTGCTTTTTCTATAATTTCTGTTGTTTATTCAGTTTTTTTTCCTCTCTTCAGGAGGATCTGTTCATAGATAAGAAAGAATTAACTGATGATGAAAATGCAATGGACAGTTCAGAGGAAAGTGAAGATGGCGAAGGAGATGATTCCACAGTGAGATTCAAATTTGTATTACTTTGATTTTCTCAATAACACATTTAGCTTGGACAAAGCTAATTATGAGTTAATTTTGATTTATATTTTTCTAGGTTTTGATATCTTCCAAGGAGACAAAAATCTTTTTTTTTTTTAATTTTGAAATTTTCAGCTATTTTATTGGTTTTAAGTTAAATTATATTATTTAAGCAATCAATCTACTCTTCAAAAAAAATTAATAGAAGTATCATTTGATAATAGTAACTTTGGTATGGAGAAACATCTTTTATAGTGACAATACAATTTACTAAAAAATATCTTTATCATAGGAGGTGTTTCTCATATCATATATAGTTTCATCATGTGATTTATCTAATTAATTTCATTCATACAATACCTCGAACAAAGTCATAATTGGAAAATCAAAGTTAGTATTTTCATATATGGCCTAATACCACACTGTAAAATAGTTCTGCATGGCCAATATATCCTCCGGCAAAAATTTCGGAAAAAAGGGGCTGATTTCTGAGCAGATTTTGCTGAAAATTAGGCCTTGACCAATCTTTTAATATATAATAATTATGTATTAATATGCATTATTAGTAGTTACAATTTTGCACACTTATTTTTTTTTCCATTTTTCCATACAAGTTTCAAGTTTATGATGTATCATCCATGCCATTAAAATACTTTACAGTATTATGACCCTCATAGCTTGTTTGATAGACCATCCTTTAGGTGATAGGAAGTCCGGTTCAAACCCAAATGGAAACATTACATATTTCTAAAAAAAAAATTAAATTATTAAATTAAATTTTTTAATAGTAATCCTTGGGGACTTGTAAAGCGCATACTGCATGCTCTCTATGCGCTGCATGTTACAAAAAGAAGAAATAAGCAGAAAAAGTAATCAATCCTAAGTTCTAACCAAGCAACTTAAAAAAACCCCCCCATAAACAGACTATTGCCGAGGAGCCCACATTACCGGCCGTTTTCTTGCCGGTGATGTCGGATCATAACACACAGATGCTGAAATGATTTTGACATCTAAACTAAATTACTAAACGACTAAATTAAAGAAGATAAAAAATAAAAAAAACAGGAGAAATGAAAAATTAAATGGTTTGAAAAAGGTAGGTCTTAAGTCTCTAATTAAATATGGAGATAGGAGACGCTCAGATATCAACTGGGAGTGCATTCCATAGGTTGGTAGAAGCAACTTAAAAAGACCTCTCTGCATATTTCGAATGGATTGAAGGGGTGGATAGAGTATATGGACGAATGCTACGAGAACAAGTTGATGACCTAGATAAATAAGATCAACCAAGTACGTAGGTGATAAGTTGTGGAGGCATATGAACAAGCATCTTGAGTGTTATGCGCTACCTGACTGGGAGCCGGTTCAATGTTCGCAGAGTATGGGGGGATGTGTTGAGTTTTCGGTATTTAATTGAATGCTTGTTTGATGCATTTGGTAGTCCACTTTTTTTTTTAGGCTCAGAAGGTAATATGAATAGGCAACAATAATAAATATTTCATAGATAATTTTTATAAATAATCTTTAATGTTTTTACAGGATGAAAGTGGTTTGGAAGAAGACGATTTGGACAACAAGGCTGATGAGTATCAATTTGATTCTTCAGATGAAGAAGTAAGTTTTTTTCTCATATAATAGATAATATTGTTACTTACCATTCCCGATGATGCTTGACATTGTAATGAAATTATTCAGTTTCACTCTCATAACTGTATTGTTCTTTACTAGCTCAATTCATTACATTTTCCAAGAATGAATTATGATTTATTAACATTTTAATTACCTCTACTACAGGTGCCTTTATAGTAACTTATAAATTTGCCAAAAGAATAACCAAATTTCCTGTTGTACAGTTGCTAGATTAAAAAAAAAAAATATTGTTATACATGTTGAAGGTGATCATAGAGCAGCTTTTGTTTGAGGTATATATAATAGGAAAAATATAATTTTTTTGTAGATTATATTTTCAAAATAGCATTACATTACAGTATGTTGTCTTTGACTTGTGTTAACAGTCCGATAAATTAGTATTGATTCTTGCAGGATATTCGTAACACAGTAGGCAATATCCCGATGCAGTGGTATGAGGACTTAGCTCATCTGGGCTATGATGTGTCTGGAAAAAAGATTATTAAACCAATTAAACAAGATGAGCTGGAGAAATTTCTAGAAAAGATGGACAATCCCGATTATTGGTAAGAGACTACTAATACTTCCACTATTACCATGTGGTCCCCTACTACTGTGAACCAGTGGTGGTGCTAGCAAGTTGTTGAACGGTGGTTGGCGGGTGACCACTTCCTTCTGTTGGATAATCATGGACTGCTGTCTTCAGGCACCAGCTGAAGTCGTCAAACTAAAATATTTATTTGATTGCGGTTCAATAATATTTTGGTTGAAAAGATGGGATGAAACTTCCCTAAATCCTGAAATCTCTGTGAAAAGGGCGATTTTCTCCTAATTGACCCCACCAGGGATATTACATCCAGTCCCTAATTGGAGGTCTTAGAGTGTCCTAGGTTCAGACCCCCTGTCAGACTGACCCCCAAGTCTAGACACTACTGGTCAGCAAAAAAAACCTTTGGTCCCTACTACAGTACATACCTAAATCAACACCAGCCTGAACATAGGTCCAATTATTTAGATTACTATATTAATAGTATGATACACCCTAAGAGCATAGGAAGAAATTGTCAAAATTGACATTCACTCCTTTATCTATCTGTACACCAAAGTATCACTGCATACTGTAATTGATTATTGTTATATGATAAAATGAGTATACATGATTGGGAAACCCTCATTTAATATTTTTATTATTTAAATTCTGTTTTTATAGGCGAACTGTTTTCGATGAAAAGACCGAAGAAAATATTGTCCTAAATGAGGAGCAATTGGACATTATTGACAAGATACAGAATAATAGATTCCCTGGTGCCGTCGATCCTTATGAAGATTATATTGATTTCTTTACCCACGAGAAAATGATACATCCAGTTACTAGGCAACCAGAACACAAGCGAAGTTTCATCCCATCTTTAATAGAAAAAGAGAAAGTAAGAAGTTTCGAAAATTTATGGAAATACTGTTCAAAACATTTAATATGAGCTCGTCTATAAAGAGTAGTGGATTGTACCAATCATATCCTGCATCACGACTGATGTGTGTCCCTAGGGCCCAACATAAATTTACAGTTATACTCAACTAATCAAGTAGTTAATTTACTGTATTAATCAAATGAATTAGCATATAGAAACTGTTATGCATCTTAGTAATAATAATAGTATAGTAATAGTAGTATTAATTATAATAATAATAATTTCTCTATATCAGACTTAAAGAGAAAATCCTTTGTGTTATTTTCCCCTTAACGTCATTTCTTTAATTGTTCTCCAATTTATTCATTGTCTAAGTTCACGTTAAGGTATGTTTTAGTAACATTATAATAATAATAATAATAATGCTATTAATAATAATAATCATAATAATAATAATATAATAATAATAATAACATAAAATGATAATGATAATAATAATAGTAATAATAAAATTTAGTATTTAGTAATGATAATGATAATATAACCATTTACATGTATTACTTGGTATATATATGTACTGATTGAACATCTTGAATCTAGGTTAGTCGATTAGTCCATGCTATCAAAATGGGTTGGCTAAAACAAAAGAAGAAAACACCTGAAGATAAGAACCAGTTCTATGACATCTGGGAGAATGAAACGGTTGAAGTGAATAAAAGAACCAAGGCACACATCGCCGCACCTCAAGAGAAACTGCCGTCTCACAATGAGTCATATAACCCGCCACCAGAGTATTTACCAACTGAAGAAGAGGTAGGCTACTATTGAATATCTGTTCTTTGCTCAGTAGCGTAGGGATGGGCAGCGCGGCCTGTGCAAAGACCTGGGTCCCGAGGCTGTTAGGTGCCTGTTTAATAATAAGTCTAAATTTAATGCAGTGAATACTTTGCCACTGCTTCTTTTGATTTATTTGCTTGTTCTGTGCTTGGGTTAGGCAGTGATCACGGCTGCCTGTCAGTTGTGACGTGCCTAAGTATATGTGGAGCAGCGCTTCCTATCTGCGTACAAATGTACTGATTGGATTGGATTAAAAATAATTTTCAACTTAACATGCTTCTCAATAATTTACTTTTTAGAGGTGTAATTATTGATTTTAATTGTTTACTTTTACTTGCCACCAATTTTCTTGATTATTTTTGAACCAGCTCAAATAGTTATGAAGCTTCTGATTATTATTAGTATTTATAACTAGCCTTGGCCAGTAGGAGTGGGAGAGAAGTAAGAGGCACTCATGATTTTTCTGAAAACGTGAATCAGTACCTAGGCCTAAAATTTTCATTCTTTGAGTTCAAAATACACCTCTTGAAAATTTAAATTGTCGGAGCTTCTGCGAGGCCCTGGACCCAAGTAGAAATTTTGGCTCCAAACCCCAAGCCTACGGCTTCCTTTGACACACATCAAAGGACCTGGCAAATAACCTTGCACTGGGCTCTGTTCTTACCCAGCTATGCCACTGTCTTTGCTTGTTTATTTTATTGGAAATAAATCTATTGATTGCTGAGGTTTCACCCAATAACAGGACCTTGATTAGTTAGCTCTGTCGTAGCTTTCAGTGTCACCATTCAACCAATGGACTTGTTCATTCACAATGCATAGAATGTATAGAACTTTGGTGTAGCAAACTTATACCTTTCTCATCATGTGACCTTTCAGAGTGGACTAGCTGCATTATGCAGGTCATCTTCAATAGTTGAGAGGTTGTATCTGGTGTCCAAGTTTCAACTTGCCATCTTTTTACAACTTTTGTTTGCTTCCAAATAGTCTGAGTTTGATTGCTCCTTATACAGTACAAATAACTGTGGGTCTGAAACCCTTAAAACTAGGCAGAATTTATTAATGGTATATTATCATCATTGTATTTTATTATTAATTATTAATAATAATGTTAAATTAAATTATTATTTCAGGCACTCGCATGGAAGGAAGCTCATCCTGATGACCGGCAAACAGATTTCCTGCCCCAGAAATATGATTGTCTGCGAAAGGTACCTGGCTATGAAAACTTCATGAAGGAGAGATTTGAACGATGTCTAGATTTATATTTATGTCCCAGACAGCGAAGGATGAGAGTGAGTGAACAATTAATTTCTGATATACACCAAAAGTAATATGAATACACAGACTTTCTTCATTTACTTTGCTATCCTAGGGGTCCAAGTTGAAAGAAGTCACTTCTGGGAGGTCTGTTTAAATGAGCTTTATTAACCTGTCTATTTTAATTTTGCTGTGTTACCCATTGGATAAAGATAATTATAATACTGTAGTAAAACAACCAACCTGAGCATGCAGGCCTATGAGATAAATCCGTAGCCGAGAATTGATGAGGCGTAGCAGTAGCCGAGGATTGATGAGCCATATCCATAACTGAGGATTGATGTAGAATACCTATAATTATATAAATAATTATTTGTTTCACATTATTGTTATGTAAAAGTGATGTTACAATTATTACACATACAAGCTCCTATTAATTCACTGTTTGTTTCACTTTTAAAATCCTTGATAAAAATTGTGTTGCACAACAGTGTACCTAAGTACAGTTGCTGTAGTCAATTTTGTGACAATAAAAATACAAAAAATAGCCCCAAAAAACAAATAAATAAAATTGCAGGATTCCTTCCCTATTTTTGTAAAATTCCTGTGACTTGTGGTAGACTTGGGTCCCCTGCTATCCTTACACAATTCAGGATGAGGTACAAATTGGTAAAAAAATGTTATGCCTCTACAGTATGGTAGTAGTATTATAGGATGTATATTCTGTGAAAGTGCTGTAGTACACTCTAGCTCTTGATACCTTCACCAGTGAATGTCATTGTATAATCCCACACACTCGTGTTGACGTACTCTAGAGGTCCCAAGTTGGAAGAAGTCGCATCCGAGAGATCTGGTTAAGTGAGTTTTCTTAACACATAAAATTTTCCTGCACATAGTGATACCCATCGTTGCCAATTTCTGTGAGACAATTGGTAACTAAAGTAGTAAAAACATGCAAATACGAAAATTTACGCAAGATGGGTAAATTTCCAGGCGATTCATGCATGGTTGCGGTAGTGAGTGAGACCGTCCAGATTTCCAGCATACTCCTGTGTCGTACAGGACACTTGGGACCCTTCCGTAAGGTGGCCATGGTTCATTGAGCAGTAATAATTGATTAGCAAACCAAGTTTATCTCACTGACTGAGCAAGTCAAATGGTGGAATGGTTAAGACAGGGGCATTGTAACCAACGATATCGACACAGGTTGGTGGCTGGTTCATTCCCATAATGGAGCCGTCTCCTCCGATAAGGACTATAAACCGTAGGCCCAGTGTACACAAATGTTCATGTGCACTTAAAAGAATCCAGTACATCTTTCAAGACGAGTAGAGGGTGTATTGGTTCACTCGACCCCTGACATGGACAGATGAAAGTGTGCTGGTTTACCGGCTGTTGAGGATATGAAGTGACCCTCAGAAGAGGAGAAAGTTATTGAAATTGTAACATCTAGTCCTAGTCCACATGTCAAGCACACTGAGCATCTAGTTTGATGGACACCAGCGCTATACAAATCTACACTATTATTATATATCGCTGGATTGATTGATTATAACATCAGCCTTGATTCAAATACTAATCGTTTTATTTTACTTTTTTATTTTTAAGAGAAAATTATTTCAGTTGGGTTAAATGTACTGTAATTCTCAGAATATAATCTTATAATTTTTCATTTGCTTGTTTGTTTATGTGCAGGTTCAAGTGGATGCCGAGGACCTTCTTCCTAAGCTTACTAAACCTAGAGACCTTCAACCATTCCCAACCACACAGGCTTTGATTTACCTTGGACATGATAGCTATGTGCGAACAATCAGTGTTGATCCATCAGGCCAATGGCTAGCTTCAGGTAAGGCCGATCGAGTTAGTAGCTATCTCGGACATTGCAGCAATGGTCATTCTGCTTTCATTTACTATTAAAACATACTTGTGCTTGAATCATCAGGTAAGGCCGATATTACACAGTTAATTGCTATCTCTGCCAATGCAACAATGGTCATTCTGTTTTTATTTACTATTAACTTGTACTTGAATCATGAGGAGCTACAGTATATAAAACCGACTTATTTTATTTATTACTATATTTTGCTTGTGTTGTTTACTCTAATAATTCTGATTACATTATTGACATTGTGAGTTTTGTTACTTATGTTGCTAGGCTCCGATGACCAGACTGTGAGGTTGTGGGAGGTGAGCACTGGTCGATGTATGCAGGTAATAAAGATGTCTGGAGTGGTTGAGTCTATTGCCTGGTGCCCCAATCAATCGATCAACTTGATCCTTGTAGCTGTTGGAAGTGAAGTTCATTTGATTAATCCCAACCTGGGCGACAAACTAGTCACCTCAAGTACTGACAAACTCTTGGACTCTTATGTAAAGCCAGAGGAGCATAAGACATCACACCTGGTGGAATGGACAGCTGCGGAGGATGAAGCACACATCAAAGGATTCAGACTCACACTGAAAGTATTTAAGGTACGACTTAAATTTTAACACGTTCACTGCCAGGGATGTGAGTTCACGTCAGACAGGGTTCACTCAGCGTGCCATGGATGCGAGTTCACTTCCACACCTGTCTAAACCTACCACTATAGTATTGCACGTAAACATGGTGACAGTTGTCACCAGAATGTGAACTCTCGCCCTGGAGGTTCAGTGAACAACCGATTAAAAACAGATACTGTATGTTGGTTTGTGTTTGATTACAGTCGATGGGAATGACTTTCATTATGGTGGCGCACTTTATGATTTGGCATAAGAAATGAAACTAGGAAAAAAACTTGCAGTCATGAAAAGACTTATCCTTCAATGTGTTTGTATACTCCTCATCACATCTTTTCTCCCCAAAAACTGTCACAACTATGAATTAAATATAGAACTACAGTAGAGTACTTTATATTTACCACATTGCTGAAATTCTGTGGTATGAACACTGATATTTACTATTTTCTAAATTATTGAATACCCATATAAAATTTAAAAAAATAAAACATTCTATTAAATTAAATTCTATTTGTTTAATTGTTATGCAAAGTAATGATTTTTATTGATTGTATTATTATTTTAATGTATATTTTGCTGAGGCATATGTATATTAATTTGTTTATATAATATTCTCATAAATTATTGTACATTCAAAATATATAATATTAATGACAAGCTATATAAGTAGCAATATAAAACAAATGGAATTGAAAAATTAATAAATTATTTGTTTTTCATTTGCAGGCAGTGAAGCGTGTATCATGGCATGGAAAAGGAGACTACTTTACAACGGTTATTCCAGAGGGCGGGCACTCAAGCGTACTCATTCATCAGCTATCTAAGCGACGGTCACAGAATCCATTCTCCAAGAGTAAAGGTCTCATACAGGCAGTTGTATTCCATCCTTCAAGGCCCTTCCTCTTTGTGGCTGTAAGTATCACAAGAGTAGAAAAAATTTGATTTGACTGAACATTATGCTCTTGCTTTTTAGTTATTCATTAGCTCAAATTCGCGACCAGTACGGTAGATGTTATAGTTTCTATTCGTGAAATTTTAAACAGTGTCAAAACAGTAATGTAATTTAGTTGAATTTATAAAGCACTTCTCTATTACCTTAACTACCTTATACAGAAACTTGCTCTCCCCTATTGGTCTCATTGTGTCTGAGCTACCCGGTAAACCGGTACAAGCTGTCTACAACAAGCTGTATGGACCAATAAACCGAGTTAACCCTATTGTCTCAAAAGATATATTGGGTTCCCTAAAATACACATGAGCCAAATTGCTTACACTGGGCCTGTGGTTTGTAGTCCTTATCCAAGAAGACACCACCAGAACCATACCAACCAATGCCGATGATATGACTATGTGGCGATGCCCCAGCCTTAACTGCTTGGCCATTCGACTGTGATACAGTAGTAATCCTCTAGATTGACCTGCATGTTTCTGCTGAAAACTTTGTGTTCGTATATAAGTTAATTTTATATTCGGTTTACCTTGCCATCCAAATTTCATTACTTTACAAATTCTCCTTTTTCCCTTATGTCTTAATCGGTACGACTTTATTTTCAGAGTCAACGTTATGTTCGTGTTTACAATCTGTTGAAGCAAGAACAAACTAAGAAATTATTAACCAATGCCAAGTGGGTCTCAAGTATGAGCATACATCCACAGGGTGACAACATCATTATTGGAAGTTACGATTGTAAACTTAGTTGGTTCGACCTTGATCTCTCCACCAAGCCTTACCACACTTTGCGACACCACAAGAGGGCAGTACGCCAGGTTAACTTTCACAAGCGCTACCCTCTGTTTGCATCAGCATCTGATGATGGTACAGTTATCGTCTGCCATGGAATGGTTTACAAGTAAGTTTTCATACTGTACCAGTCGTTGTGCTGTGTACAGTGGCAGCTTAAGTTCATACATGCAGAGATGGGAGGAGTGCTAAGCTGGCCAACAGATGGTCAGACAAAGGCCAAAGTGATCCATAGCAACTGATAATTGAATTGAATTATTTTGAACTTTTTGTTAGATATTTTTTGAATTTTTTGTTTGCAATGTCTGATAATTGTTTATTTTTGTTTTTGCTAGTGATCTTCTGCAGAATCCATTGATTGTTCCAGTCAAGATTTTACGAGGACATGAGGTGACTAACAGTCTAGGTGTACTAGATTGTCAATTCCACCCCAATCAACCGTGGGTGTTTAGCGCTGGTGCTGATGGTACAATACGCTTATTTACCTGAATGTATACAATAATTGTGTAATCTTCAAAGAACCAGTTTAAGGATATTTTCAGCTTTATTATATTTGATCAACAACCTGCTTAGATCTTAGCTGAGATCATGGCAGTGGTGGCAACAGGATTTGCCTGATGTTGGTGGGGGAAAATTGTGATGGAGTTCAATGTCCTCAAAGGAAAGGCTGATTTCCCCCGATAGGAGCATAAGAGGTCCAGAACCCCTGAGGGGGAGTCTACAGACGAAGCATCTGGAAACTGGATAAGATCGTCTACGATAAATTTTGTTTAGGGAGGGGTCTGGTCCCTCCGCTCCTCCCCCTCTAGTGCCACCACCAGATCATGTTTTAAATTAATTTTGTGAATTCTCTTTACAGTATATTCAAATCCAGACTTAGTTTTTCTAACCTAGGTATACAATTTGTAAAATCCTATGATTCTTGTTTTAAAATCACAAGTTAAATTTACACTATTTTGTCATGGAGCTGTTGAATGATCTGATGACTAATGACCAGAAGCATGATCATAAAAATATGCTACATTCTAAAAATAAAATGTGTACATCAGGAAAAATTGAATTGTTATGATTAGTCTCTTATTGGAAGCTTGTGACTTTTTTTTTTATCTTTAAAAGCAATTACAGCAAATGTTTTAATTTAAGGGGTAGTTTTACAATCATGTTGGTATAGCACTTTCTATACCTGATCAGGGGTTTACAGTCGCCAGAAAAACGACATAGTCCGTCCAAAATGGAAGCCAGTGGGCGTTGCCCTGAGCCGATGGGCGGGCCACGTGGTGCCCCTCCCAATCATAAGGGGGAAAAATAGGGCATTTAAAGGTGTTTACATTTTGGAATTTTGTCTTCAAAGGAATAGTGTTGAATTACCTATCACAAAGATATTTCAGTTATAGACATAGATTGCGCGCAGCTATGGTTACTCACATAATGTTTCTAGGTTATGCAGGTGCACTGTAGTCATCTCTCGCCTTTATCTAATGTAAAATCTACTCTAGATCCTCCGAATCGAACGTACAGTATGTTATGATTTAATTATAACCAGAGAGTTTTTAACGAACACCAACAATATTATGTCGGGAAACCGAATCTCAAGTTTCCAGAGAGTTGTGGGCGACTCAGAACTGTCCATTTTCCAGTGGGGTATAAATGTTTTTAATACGATGCGTGGTGTAAGTGAACTTTTTATGATGGAGTATGCAGCACCATGGGTCGTAGATCATCATGCCTTTTAACTGAATATGAACTGTTTAAAGGACACAAAGAAAGTGCGTTCTGCAGTAGTTTTACATCAATTAATTAAAACTCTTTAAATTTTGTAAAGATGTTGTTATGATGCCATGAAAAAAAGTATGTGTACTGTATGTGTATTGTGAATCTGATAAAAGATTATGAGGAATTTGTTGGAGCTTCATTTTGACTATAATGGTGTTGTGTTGATGAATTTTACTATATAAGAGTCATTTCTGGCAATCTAGAGGTACAGTACACTATTCCCTCAGCCCCAACCATGGTGGGCACAAGTTGGGGAATCACCCACCTTCAAAACAGATCAGCACTTTTGGGCAACACCAACAGGTACCCATTTATCTCCTGGTTGGAGAGAAGGTGTGAGTAACTTGCTCAAGGACCCAAGCAAAATGCACAGAGAAGACTTAAAACCCAGACCTGAAGCTTGGGAAACCAAAACGTTTGTCAAACCACAGAATATGTATGCATGCAGGCATTAAAGTTGTGTGACTGCAGTTTAGTAATTAAGTAATTTAGTTAAGCATATTTTGATTATAATAATAATAATAATAGTTCGATTTTGATTGAGCATATTTTGCTAAAGCCTTGATGGACTTAAATCTGGACTTTAAGCGAAATAAACAAATTAAAAAGATGTGTTTTGAGTAGTGTTTTGAGTAGTTGTTTGAAAGCGCTGATGTTAGTTGTTTGCCTACTATATGTGGTATTTTCACATATAAAAATGACGAGGTACAGAAATAATTGTGTTATACTAGTAATCTATTCAGTGGCTACTAACAGCCCTGTGTGCCATTGCTTGAGTATGCATCAATGTTATATTTACAGAAAAACAGCATTTGTTAAATATTGATAAGTTTTGTCAAAACAAATTATCAATAAAAAGCTATGAATCTAAACTATTTAAAAATACATACACATCAAAAAGTAGCGACAGGCATGTACAAAATACTATCAAAGTAAACTGTATTTATCTAACCAATACATAATTTTGTATTGATGCATTACCTGGTTCAAGAGCCTCCCAAATGTAAATCTTTGCTGTGCTAGGGTCACTTTTGATGTGTGAGGAAAATTGCAGACACCTCACCTTCAGTGACCTAATTATTTATTTAGGCCTACGTCTTACTTCCCTAATAAACTAAATTACCCAATTCAGTTGTGATGTTTAGTCTATGAATGAGATAATTACCTGGACAGACCTACTAATTGCCTTTGCTCCCAAAACAGAACAGTCCGACCCTGGGCACCATGTACGAACCCACCAACCGTCTTGCTCCCCTTTTGTGCTTGTGTTTTGGGAACAAAGGCAATTAGTTGGTTTACCGTACTCGCTTGAATAAGCGCCCCAATCGAATAAGCGCCCCTCATAACGAGAAAATTTCCTTAAGCGCCCCGTTTGAATAAGAGCCCCCTTCTAATTTGAATAAACGCCCCCTCAATAACCCAATCAATCCTGGGACAGTGGATGTTGGAATGAATTGAGGTGTGGAGTGGAATCACATTCTCCTTTAGTCAATATCAAAGTGAGGATATTTATCTTCGACAGAATGATGAAAGCTCCCTGGACAGACAGTTTATTTCCAACTTTCATCTTCTTTCATAGCCTAGTCCTACTACTCCTTTTCCGACAATTTGCACCTTTAACACATTCTCATCTAAGTTTTCAAGAAAACCTGCAATGATCATGCCCTCCTGCTATTCTCAATCAACCGATGGCGAACAAGCTAACCACCACCAGTAATTTCATCTGCTATTCTGCTGTTATGTAATACTGTACTCACAATATTCTTGTCATGACAAGCCATGCTCTCTGGACGATTATCTTTTCCGCCGCAGCACCATTCGTAATTTCCTGATGTCCTTATTTAATTGTTTTTCATTCAAAATTTGCCTCTTGGATTTAATAAGTTCTCATAAGAACCCCTCGATTTTCATCTATTTCCATAAGCGCCCCCTCAATTTTCACTCTGTTTTTATAAGCGCCCCGTTTGAATAAGCGCCCCTCAAAAAGTGCAAAAAAATATTTTAAGTGCCCGGGCGCTTATTCGCGCGAGTACGGTACTTACGAAACAGACAATTATTTTGTGTATAATATATGGATACAGTTATACTAAATAAAGACAGTAACTTGGAAGTTCAATATAAAATATTTAATTTGTTTTCACTCAAATTATTATACATATATTTACAATGAGTAATTCATGTTAACCAACTTAATCCTAGTCCATTACTATGTTGAGTAAATTTTTCAAGGCTTGTTGGTAGCGCATGACTAAGGACTCTGCTTCACTGTATGGTGATGCTAGTTCCACCTTCAGCTTAGCGTCTGCTTGAAGGAGTTGCTGGGCAAGTCCACTATTCTTCAGGGATACTTTGGCCTAAAATTTAAAGATACATATTGTAACTCAAAATCAGTAAATTCAGCTTTCATGTATCAATATTTACAAGCGCGTCAGTTGGTAGAGTAACCAAACGGTAATTGGAAGATCTTGGGTTCGAATCCTGATGAGGAAAATGTTTTTCTCAAAAATTCATTATATATATTTATCACCAGTGGAGATGTATCGCCATACCAAATATTTACAACATAAATTGATTTTGGAAATATTACTGTATATGTTGATATTTTATTTTTTAGCTTCTTTATTAGGCTCCACTAAACTTCCAACATACATATTTTTATGATTGAAATAATATGTGAAGTAATACCCTAGTAAATTGCTAAATTTAAACTTGTATTTAAAGAAGTATAGTCCCATGCACAATACCAAAAAAAAAAATCAAAATAATTTTTGAAAGTAACATAAAAATTATCAACTTGGAACATTAAGAGTACTTAAAAAATAATTTTGGACCTAATCAAATGAATGAACCAAAATCCTGGACCCTTCCCTGCTTTTTGCAAGATAAAAAGTAATGAAGGCAGTTGAAATTTTTTGAGAGTAATGTAATGCTAAATAATACTTCTAAACACTGACCTTTTGGCTGCTGAATGCTAGAGACCACAAGGCTGTTGCAGATACATGCCGGCAATTTAATGAGTCTGCGTGTAGTTGAGCCATTAGAAATTTGACAACCTTATCTGAAATACAAATGAAACAGATGCCAGTAAGTACAAAGTGTCTTGAATAAGAACAATGTTTATGTGTACATTACAATTGTAATTTTTATATTATATTAATAGTTAAGCATTTTAACAACTTTATTTCGCAATTCAGTTTCTCAACTGCAATGAATTATTTTATGTACATATTTGATTTTAATGTGAATTAAGATACCAGGATATATGTTGAAGATAAGCCACATTATTACAAAATTTACCTCTAAATTTTGCTACTACATTTTTCCAGCCTGTTAAGTGTAAAGGTCCCCGTATTCATGACTGAACATAGAGGAATGAGCTTTTAGCCCAAAGCCTCGGCATTGTGTGGTAAGGTGGCCAGTTTCTTTCCACTTCTGCCTTTTTAACTTTCCCAGTACATTTGAACCAGGTACAGTACACAATTATACTCCAGGGTGCAGAGTGACAAACGTAGGTAAAGTGCCTTGTCCAATGACAAGCGAAATCAAAACACAACTGCTGCGCTAACCGCTCGGTATAATATGCATTTAACGTTTTGGAGTACGCTGTTTCATTATCCGAACTAGTTACGAGTACTAATAAATATTTTAAGAAATGTAGAACATTAACTTACTGGAGGCTAGAAGTTTAGGCTTGTTTGTGGAATGGAAACACAAATTCCGAAGTGTCATAAGTGCTGGCTTGTTCAAGTTTGTGTTGCTTAGCATGGCGTACTCAAGCAAGAGGTCCAAAGATCCTATAAACAAAATATAAATATGAATAAATGGGAGTACATTGCTATGGTACATGTTACAACAATGCAAGTGTTGATGAAGACTAAAAACAGAATTACAGGACTGTATTGGAGAAAACATATCTTTTTTTTGCTATACAAAACAGCACTTGTACTTGTGTCCATCATCATCATCATTTTTTTTTCCGGATTCCTCTGTGCTTACAGCATTGGTCATATTTGACTGCTTTGTTTGATATTTGGTCGAGTATTATTTTCATTTAGCTGCTTTGTAAAATAGACTTTGTTGACAATGGAAATTAATGTAACCGGAGTGCGTTATCCACATGACCAAAATAAACATGACCGATTGGTCAGTTTAGCAACAACATTTGAGTTAATATAATTTGACAACGGAAATTAATGTAAACCAGAGTGCGTTAATTTGTAAGTTATCCACATGACCAAAATAAACATGGACGATTGGTCAGTTTAGCAACAACATTTGAGTTAATATAATTTGACAATGGAAATTAATGTAAACCAGAGTGGGTTAATTTGTAAGTTATCCACACGACCAAAATAAACATGGCCGATTGGTCAGTTTAGCAACAACATTTGAGTTAATATAATTTGACAATGGAAATTAATGTAAACCAGAGTGCGTTAATTTGTAAGTTATCCACATGACCAAAATAAACATGGCCGATTGGTCAGTTTAGCAACAACATTTGAGTTAATATAATTTGACAATGGAAATTAATGTAAACCAGAGTGCGTTAATTTGTAAGTTATCCACACGACCAAAATTAAACATGGCCGATTGGTCAGTTTAGCAACAACATTTGAGTTAATATAATTTACATTAAATTTCAGAAAATAATAATTATAATATTTACCTGCTTAAAGCCAAAAAATAATAGGAAGGCTGTTATTGTATGTAAACAGAATTCAAAGACATGAAAATATTTATTTACAATAAAACCCTATGACAAACTGTAGCAACCTCCACTACGCTAGCATGTATCGCGGTAACTACGCAGCCATGTTGTTTTGTTAAAGTATTTACCAGTTTTCTAATCATTTCGTCATCTTCGTTAAGTAGGGTTTTATCACCGCACAGGCAGGCATGGTTTAACAAAGAACGACCAATCAAATACACCAATTATCTTACCTGGAATTCTCATGATCATTATCTGTCCTTCACTTGAAAAACTCAGATTTAACAAAAGATGCAACCAACGATGAGAGTTCAGTACCTTACTCTGCATGTCTTTACTTCTCTTTGCTGGTGTTACATCACTGAAACCCTGCAGGAAATTACTCTTCCACAACACACTCCTACACTCAGCTGACCACATCAAATTCCCAAGTACATTGAACAGTTGCTGCTGCACTGCTGTGTCCTCCCTTTTGTTTGAAATGGTTCGCACCCGTTCTCGTTCTGAAAGCTTGATAAGACTGTGAAGGAGGGAGCTGCCACTATGACCAGCAGGGGTGGAAGCCATGGAGATACAAACTGAGGAAATATATATGGTGCAACTTTATTTCAAAATTTGCATAAAGAATTAATACAAATTTTGTTATTTATTTATTTATTGACAATCCACCTTTAAACGGTGCAGTCAAATAATAATTAAATAATAAACTTAAATACAAAAAAAAACTAAACAAACTTATACTAAAAACTAATACATATTAAGAAAAAGGAAAACAAATTAACCTGGAATGTAAATAAAGCCTACAGCATAACTCTTAAAGTTTTAAAAATAAAATATGAATATTGTAAAGTAATGGTATTACCATATTGTGACTGGCAATGTTACTCTATTCAAAAATATATGATTAAAATAACTAACATTTTAACCATCTCGGTAAAATGCTGTAGAATAATATTCTAACGCAAAGTACTAATAGGCAAATTAGGAAGCTCAAATTTTGAATCTTGATACAGGTTTTTTGGATTCCACTGGAGAAAAAAAATATTTAAAAAAAGAAAAACTAAATTTGGGCACTTAATTTGTTTTTTCTTACCTGTTGGGCATTTAGCTGTGTACGTACACATGCAATTGAGTACTGCAATCAACAATAGCCGCTCTAATAGACACCATGACCATAGTTTCTGAATAAGTCCAGTCAGTCCTACAAGATAGCCTGCCATCTGAGGAAAAACAACAATCAGCAAAAGATCATTGAACTACAAAAGAAACATAATTAGTGAAAGCTCCATTAATAAGATCAACTAGAAATACAGGATAATTGGAAATGGCCTGCAATTGGATCAGTCTTTAATTAGAGGAAGGCCTGTTACACAACCCTGTACATGGCTATACCAATATGTACGATGGTAGAAGTGAATCTGTGTATCGGTGTCCGAGTGATAGCAGATTTATTATTGTATTTAAATTGCATATTATTTAGTTGGGAAATTTTACCTTTACTTCAGTGCTTGCAAACATAAAATTCTGTAGTAGATTAAAAGATGAAATAAGTTCCATTACCAATGGATCATCCTGAAGAGAGAAAAAAAAATAAAATTACGGTATATTACAAAACATTTAATATAATTATTAATAATAATTTTTAATATGCCAGGGACACAGTAAGCAGTACAGAAATCCATTTAGAAAGTGGAACTTCAAAATCATAGGCTTTATACTACTGTACTAGCCAAAGGTCAAGCCAGGTTAGCAGAATGAATCTTCCTGCTAAGCCCCGTCCAATGGATTTTGCCAAGGTCCCACAAAATGAAAAACAAAAACACAAAAAAACATAAACATAAAAACATATGCACATATGTATTTATGAGAGAACACTTCTATTTGTAGGACAGACGCATATTACTAGCCCTGTTCTGATTGGCCATTTAAGTTTGATTGACATTCTGGAATGGTCCGTTCATGCTAACTACTTTATTTTCAATACCATTGTGATGCAACATTCACCTTCTTTTTAGAGTGCTTGACCATTTGTAATGATTCCATCTTCAGCTTCTCTTGAATATATTTCATATTATTTACTATGCTATCAAGTAGTCCAGCTGGAGGGGAAAAAATTAATTTGTATATTCTTGCATTTAGTTAAAAAAAAAATAAACAAATAGCATTATATAATAAATTTAAAATTGTTTTTAGTTACAAAGCACTAAATTGAATCAATATGTTAATGGTGTTAGATCATTGAAGCAATAGCCCAATTAACCATTAAGTATAGTGTGGGGCGTCACACAGACATCCTGTGTATTACATTATAATCACACCTGTGATCTGATTCTCACACCAAATTAAAAAAAAACTGATATATTGGGTCCGAATTAAAGTAAAAATGAAGTGTCTGTGCCCAGTAAACAGCATGATTGATGTGGGTAAGCAAATTGTTTTATTAAATGGCTGCAGCCTGTGCTAAGGTAGTGGTGCTGACTAGAAAGAGGTAAACTACCTTCTATAGCTGTGTCCTTAGCAGTGTTACATACAGCTAACAGGGTCTTCAGAGCATGGAAAACAGCAGCTTTTTCTTCCTGTTGTGATGGACCAAGATACTTGGGAAGGGTGCCATCATAACCTTGTAATATCACCTCACACAAAGCCCTACCACTAGGCTTGGAGTCTACTGTGGAAATCAAAGATGAGGATAATAACACAATAGTTATAAACCTATAGGTCAATTCAAATGAGGCTTAATTGACTTATTTCTTGTTCAAGAAATCTAAAGCTGGGAAAACTATCAGAATTATAACTGGTCAGATATTGTCAGATAAATTACAGCAGTGTTGAGGCTTGATTTGTTTGAAACAACACGATTACGGTCTGATTGAACATTTGATTCTATACATGGCTAGTAAAATATCTTACATCATTATTCATTCATTTGTTGTCCTTCATATTCCTACTCTGATGCTATCAATAAGCCACAGGGAAAACATTTTACTGATGTCATTGTGATGTCATCATTTTACCATCCATGTTATTTTCTTATCTCTGAGTAAGCTCCCTAGTAACATCTTCTATAGTGTCTACTCATCCATTCCATAATAATAAATTGGATTGGATTTGGTTTATTTGGTGTGTGAACACAACCGATGACACACAAAATTCCAAGGACTTACTTTCAGATGTATATTGGGCAGTACAAATTTTTTCAATTGCTATCATGCAAGTTCCTTTGTTATTAGAAAATGTTTACATTATGAGAAAAATAATATAAATTAAAATTTACCTTTACTATCTTAATCTTTATAATTAAGTAATTTTTGTTTTTTATTTAATAGGAACATTTTTTTACATTGAGAAAGGTAGAAGTGTCAACCAACCTCCGTTAACTTGTATACTATTATCAAGTAAATCAATGATTGATTTTGTAGAGTCGACATCCTCTTGGGTGTCTATGTCAGTGTTGTCCTGACCTTCATAGGAAAACAGTTGCACTAGGAAATGCAGAGAAGCTATCCTGGTTGATGACAATGTGGGTATCTTCATTATGTGTATAATACAATCTATAGGGAAGAAAATATTGCGTTGATTATACTGGAAACAAATAATGTCCAGATGTAAATGTTCAAATTTAGACATAACATATTAATAATTATAATGTATATAATTTATAAAGTGCCTAATAAATATGAAACATAACTTGCAACACACCGGCAATAGGAGAAAATGTTAACCAGATGCAGAAAAACTAGATGTGGGAACTAAGGAATGGCGAGTTGTACAAAAATTAAATTTCTTAAGAGGAGTGCAGAACCCCATCCTTTAGGACACCCCTTCCAAGGAGACACTTCTTCAGCCAGGAAAAAAGGAGAAGCATACCTCTTAAAACTACAAACAACCCTTATACAAGGGACATTTTTTTTTTATCCTAAATGTTTCCCCTTAATAGGGGTTCTACTGTTTTAGACAAAATTTAATATGTTTATTATTACTCTATATAAATAAAAGTAAATTCTTGCCAAGCTACTAGGGCTCATGGTAAATGCATCGCAGGTTACACCCAGCAAACTTGCTGGTACCCATTGATACAGCTGGGTAGCAATGTAGATACAGCACGTTGCTCAAAGACACAATAAAATGCACGGCAAAGTATTAAAACCCCAAACTGAAGGTTGGGATAACAAAGTATTCTTGCTGAGCTAAACTGTTTCAACAAAAGGTAAGGCTTCAGAATATGTGGCAAAGACAAGCCAAACCAGTCACTCGTCGCAAATCGTGTTCAGAGATAATGGCCAAAACATGCCGAAATGTCAAAATTTTTTTAATCTATTTTATTGCACTAAACTAACATTTATATATCTATACATCATGCTATGCTGTTATTTTCCCAATTTTTAATGTTAAAACAACAATTTTTAATGATTTGGTGATAATCTTTGCATGAGAAATGCCCGAAATCATAAACTTTGAAGGCTGATTTCTCAAATACTGTACCATAAACAACTCTATGTTAAATTCTTGTAACTTCATAAGGAAATGTCAGATTTAAAAGATTTTTTTACCATTTTGTAGCTCTAATCTTACTATTTAACCAGGTATTAATAATTAAAAAATGATTTTTGCGACCAGTGACTGGTTTGGCTTGTCTTTGCCACATATACCTGTTACTCTAGGCCAGCATTTGCCGAGGACACTCTGTAGCTGATCTGTACTGTAAGTTGCACTTAGCTTGATTATACTGGAAAAGATGGCAAACACACACTGCCATACCTTCATCAATAGATCATGCAAGGGAGTGTCTATGAATTAAAAAGAACAGCTGATGATTCTAAATATATGAATTAATCAAATAAATATAACATTCTAATTGCATGAACTAATGAATAAATATATTTACTTATGCATTGTTAGTATTATAATGCCAAAAAAGTGTGTTTTGCCCAAGTTAGACCAAGTGTCAAAATCTATAATCGATTTTTGTTAAATATTTCTTTTTCCTAAGGAGAGACAAATATACTTGTATATTGTCTGAAAATGGAACAATATTTTTTGCCTAATCATAAAGTAAATGTACTTACCAAGGAGTGCAGCAACGTCGAGGGCAACGAGACCACAGCACTTGGGAAGCAGATTTAATCCCACTAATCTCTTAATATTACTAGGATCCTGGATTATCTCAGACAGGATTAGATCAAGTATTTGTGTCACCATTAACAGCTGATCTCGTAAAATCCTGCATGTTGTAACCTTGTTTCTAGAGATGCTGGCAGCTTTGAAATCCTTCAGGTAGTTATCAAGTGTCTGGGAATCTATTAATCTGCAGAGAAATAGTAAAAATAATAGAATTATGAATATGTACAGTCTTAACTGTAACTGTTGAATCTTTTATAAGGACCATACCAAATACAAGTCTAGAAAGCTTGTCAATAATGTGTTCAGTGTATATTAAATACAAATGCTTACAATTTAATTTAATCAAAGTAAACCAAATTTAACTTCATAATATTGTACTTTAAGATTATTACATTCAACCTGTGTTCTAGAAAACTATGAAATTATAATAATGAGGCTTACCTCAGCAACACGTCTGTAACATTGTTCTTGGCCAATGAGGAGCAAGTATCTGATGGTACAAGTGAGAGCAGGTTGTGCAGGACACGGCATACACCTGTTACTAGCCCAGGCGTCACTACACTTACTTGACTGCTTTTGCTCATTATGCTAATTGAACTGGTGTACGAGGCTGTTGCATCCTGAGAACTACTGGATGATCCTGGGTGCAAGATTCACATGTCTGATTAGCAATGTTAACAATGTCAACAGATGGAACTGTGTTCAAAACAATCTTTCTTTTTGTAGTGGGGAGAGAAATATAATCATAATAATAGTAAAAATAACAATGAATTTCATCTGGTCTGGGTCTAATTTAATGAAATTGATATCCATAATAACCATGACAACAATTATTGACAAAAAATAAAAACATTAAAAAAAACTACAATAGAAACAATGACTACAAAAGAAATTCAAGTAAAAAAACTAAATGGTTGAAGGCAGAAAACCACACATATGCATTATATTATGTTTACATTTGTATACTCTTCAAGATAAAGGAAATGCAGTGGCGGATTGAAGAATTTGAAATAGAGGGGGCCCAAAGATGGATTTTCACAGATTGAGGGTCTATACTACCTCAGTTCCACCATGGTTGGGGCTGGGTTATGATTATGGCACCTCTAGATGGTCGGAAATGACACTCTTAGACTCAAAATTTGAGTAAAATTTCCTTTATTTTTTCTATTTTGTTTTGAAGTTTTTAAAAATTTAGGGGACCTGGGCCCCCTTCAATCCGCCACTGAAATGGTTCTAGGTAACTCGGCACAAACACAAAATAACAATACAATACAAAGTTAGGGCTGAACAGGCAAATTGATTAAAAACTAATACAAAAGTGAACACATGAATAGTGTTAATAATATTAACAGAATTACCTTGCTGTCCAGGTATGGCAGGCCTTTCAAGGCCTTGCATTGGCATGTTGTCACGGTTTCCTGATACAGCAATCATCTGTAAAAAATAGTCCACAACAATTCCAAAATTATTATTAAAAAAATTCAAAATTATATTATTTATTAATACTTCTAAAAATTAATAATAATAAAATCATTATCACTTCGGTTTTAAACCAGTATATATTCATTAGAACAATAATTTCCTTGAACCTTAATTTAATTTTTATCAGAATTTATTAAGATTCTGTAACTAGATTTTGTTGTTCATTGAAGTTTATTGTTTTTCCTCTTATATTTCTAGATTAAAAATTTACATGGGTGACCTTTGTCGCTGTTGAATTTTAGTGAAATAAAAAAAAATTAATAGAAAACAGTGACTATTACAACATGCAAATTTACCTTATTATCAGAAGGGGAGCTCCTTGAACTTGTAAGTGAACTGACTATAGTATCTGCAATATATATATAAATTATTTTACGTTTAATATTACTGTTCCACAAAATGTTTTGAATTAAGACTTACTGTCTTCAAGCAACAGGACTATGTCTATAGGGTGCTATTATATAGCAAGCAAATAATTATATTAATATTTAATGAGAGTACAGAGAGCATTTTAAGCAATTGATACTTTATGCCTAGGAACATACATGGCTTCCATACACTTATAAGGAAGAACAATAGGATATTTTGATTTGTTAGCCAATGAGAAATGCCTTACCAGTGGTAGTGAGGTTTGACTGGCCAGCCATGGACATGTTTGAAGAGTCATCTAGCACTGTAACAGGTTGTATTGTGCCTAGGCCATAGTAGCTCTGCAGCATACTGGATACCTCTATGTAGAAGCTATAGTGCTGAAGTAGAGCTAAGAGTGCAGGCTTACCTAGAAGTAGAGCCTTCAAAATAAAGAATTTATATTATTGATTATATAACAGAAAGTTACGTGATTAAAAAAATACACATGTATTTAGATCATATTTGTGTTTTTCATTATTATAAAATTTTATTGAATTCAGCTGATATACTTGCTTCATCGAAGCAAGTATTCGCACAAAAGATCATTAAATTATGGCGGATGAATAAATTTATACCTGCGTGTCTTCATCTTGTACACAGGGCCCTTGCCACACACCTGGTTTAACCTCTTCCTCCGTTCTATCTGGTATAGGATGTGCTAGCAGATTGCATAACAGATTTGCAGCCTAGTCCACAAAAATGTGACATCACAAATAAAAATATTCTAGACATGTTAAGGCTTAGAATTAATTATACAATGAATGCATGACTGGAGGCAAATACTATCACATGTGAGTTTTTGTAAAAAAACAACAATACTGACTATATGTTGTTTACAATGTCATTTTAATTTTTGTTTGTTTTTGTAATATATAGTTCATCATCATCATATTTATAATTGGTAATGTGTCCACTGACAATATTACAGATTAACTTCAAAAGATTTTTGTTGATGCTTTATTAATTATTACGACCAAATAAACTTTAAAATGTAAAATTACTATTCATAATAAAGGCTAAAAATGTAAGTTAAATTTACTTGCTGAAATTGTAAAAATAAAAACAATAGATGTTATACTGCTTTAAAAATATCCTAAAAAACAAAAAACTAAAAAACTATAAAACATCACAATTTATTGTATTCACTTTCAAATTGTACATAAATTACATTAAATGTAATAAATTTACACTGTAAATAAAGCATTCTATGTTACCTGCTGCCTGACTAAGCTGCATTCTGATTGGTTGAGAAGTTTCTCAAACACCATTGCCCATAATCCCCCTGGTAGCTGTTGGCAACCATTTGCTACAGTCAAACATCCTGAAGATGATGCAGCAAGACCTGAGGCAATACCTAAGCCAGCAGCACGTACCTATGACAACAATAAATGTATTGATTTACATAATGATAATAATTATCATTCCACATTATATATAACATTGTCTACTAACACCACCTACTATCAACAACATCATTTTAGACATCAAATGAAGGAGGTGGAATTGGATAGGTCACATACTTAGACTGAACAAAAAAAGGCACAACCAACATGTCCCAAAATGGCAACCGAAAGGTAAGAGAAGTTGAGGAAGACCAAAATCAACTTGGAGAATTATAGTGGACTGCGATGTTAAGGAAAACAGAAATACCTAGAATGAGCTAAACTGGCTGGCACAAGACCGCATCCAACTTGAGGACTTAAACACCTTATGTGCATCAGTAAAAAATGGCCAAACAGCATTTAATTATGTGTTCTGTGAGCGAGCGTACATTTTGACCTCAAAGTTTTGAAACTCGTTTCCTGGTTACGGTTCATTAATATGCAAATATTCGCGCCTGGCTAATCCCGCTAGTCCGAACGCCCAGCAAAGTTAAGCAGGGCTTAACCTTGAGCCGGGCTCAATGTAAGCCTGGCTTATCTCCAAGTCTAAATGTAGCCATAAGTAATATGCAATATAAGTAATTTGCATATAGGTGGCAGTCTCGGAATCTACACTTTTATATCAGTGGCACTCTTCCGAAAGGTAAGTGCGTCCAAGAGAAAATAAAACTAAAACATAAAAAATTACAAAATTTAAATTTGGACAGTCACATGGAAATTTGCATAATAGTAATAACTAACTACATCATTGTTTCTGTGGTGTGAGTCAGATGTAAGAGTTTCTATCATTAATTACTTACCTCAGGGTCTCTATAAGACCACAATGATACTACCCAAGCTAATCCAATATCTTCTGCCTCCATACCCGTTGGCTTAGGAAACAGCCACTGCCTTGCCCAATCCTTGCTGTGGGTATGATGACTCACTTCTGCAACAAGATGTCTCAGACACAAGGTGGCGCTCTTTGTAACTCCTTTACCCATGTATGACATCGCTGTACCTCCTCTACCAACATGAAAAGCAGAAATAACCTAAGAAGATATAAAAGAAAGAAAAAGTATTGTAGTAATTAAATTTAAACTCTCTAACTGACCAGACTTTGTGCACGATATATAATATGTAATAATACGGTACTGTCGTATCTTTATATATCTTCTATTTTCATAGCGCCATTACTTTAAGTATTTAATAATTTTGTAACTTTTGTAATTTTCATACTGCAGTACTGTTTTTATATCATATATAATATTTTTTTTTATCATTGTCTTTGGAAAATGAATTTCATGTGTTTTATAAACTTGTAAACATGACGAATAAAAGAAATCTTGAATCTTGAAGCTTATATACTGTAAAGACATCTATTTTTGCAGCCCTTCATTTGCAATTTCAAATATTTAGCAACCTTACATTTTTGCCATGTAGCATTTTTAAGATTTTATTTATAACACATCAACATGCAGACTCCAATATGGCAAGTTGTTCAGTATAAAAAACAATAAAACAAGATTCCTTCATCATTCCTGTTAATGTTAAAACTTAAAGGTTTGGCTACATCATGAAGGAAGCCTCTACTCTCTAGTAGTAATAGGCCTTTATGCTTCATGGGATGAAATTAATTTAAAAACTTTAAAACTGTATTCATCAAAAAGTAAATGATAGTTGCATGATACAGTAAATAAAATGAAGAAAAAAATTACTGTAAATGACTGATTTAATGGGATGGATGAATAAATGAACATCTGTAGACTAATGTATGGATAATAATGTATGTATGTATTAAGAATATCAGTGGCACAAGAATGTGATGCACTATGTAAGATTTGCACAATAATTAATAATATTCAAAATGCCTACCTCTAGCAGAACATTCAGTAGCTGTTGACAGAGGGTTAGGGTGTCCTTGTCACTGCAGTCTTTGCTCCAACCAGGCCTAAACAATCAAATCCAAAGTGTTTTTCATCTATATTGTATTCTAATGTACAGCATGCATAGCTCTGATGGCAGTTGGAAAAATGACAGCAAAAATTCTTACCTTGCAGTTATGTGTAGAATACAATTGAGAGTGCTCTCAAGGGATGGCAAGTCATAGAAATGAAGAGCATCAGCTAAAGTCAAACTCAGCAGCAAACCATTCACTATGTCACCTCCTAAGTAACTGGACTTATGTCGCCTACAGTCACAGAAAATAACAAACAAAAAATAATTGTAAACTAAATTTTGGTTTTTAATACAATACAATATCAATTATATTAGTAATAATAATAATAATAATAATAATAATAATAATATTAGAAACTATGGATGGCTTTATAATTGCAGCGCACATCACAAGTAGTAAATAACAGTGAATTTAAAAGAGATTATCTAAATTTAAACATACCAGTGTTTAAGCTGTCATTAGCCAAATAGCCTAATCCTAATAAAACCTAAATTTTGCTAAATATTTTTTTTTAATTTGCCAAAAGCTAATTGAATAACTTCCATACCGAATTAGCCAAATTGCTAGATATTGTTTTTGGCCAGCTTAAACTCTGATGCACCAAATAATTTTACATTTAACATAAATAAAATGGAAAGTGAAAATAATGAGCAGAAAAAATAATAAAAAAATTTCCAAGCTTATTATGATATCGTTGGCACTTCAGCTACAGTACTCATTAGTGAACTATAAATAACCTAACGATCTTTTGATGTTGTGTAATTATTTTAATAATGAATTGCCAATAACTTACCAAGCTTCTTGTGAAGGAGGAAGCTTATGAACAAATGAATGAATGAGGAGCCACAGTTGTTTATGAAGGTATCGCTCAGCAACGACCTTCTCATTATGTTCCTGATCACCCCTTGGGCTGGTCGACCGTTTCTGTAACAGGTTTACTAAAGCAGTCTCACCATGTCCTATTGCATCCCCTAGCCAAACTCTCATCTTTTGGGATATTTCATTGGTTGAACTTATGAGTGATCTTAAGAAGCTCAGGACTTCAGCCAATAGGAGTTCATCTTCAGGATTGGCAGGCACCACTTCCATAAATCTTTAAAGAAACATGCACAGTGACATTTTCAGCTTAATTCATAAATTCCATATTATTGATTATGTTACATTTTATCATTATAATTAAAATTTATTTGATTTATTTTTTTCAACATGTTTTGAGATGAGGTGCATTCAGCCAGAGCAGAAAAAATACCAGAATTATTAATAAATGCTAAAAAAAGAAGTCACTACACCCGAGCCAATAAAGGTATGGTCAAGCGCTGACCAATTAAAGAAAGCATTACACTTTACAAAAAGAAGCAGAGGATTGTCTGTAATGTCCAACGTACAACCAGAGGTTGACTACACTGCAGCCTGCGCAGGTCTCCTGCCAATATTTTTAAGTTAACTACGACCACTTGAGTACTTTTACTTTACAGTTAAATAATTTTTTAAAGTTATCAACAACTTTTTTTTATATATTTCATGAACAAGGAATATAAAACTTTGAAGTAATTTAAGTTAACTTAATGTTCAACTGTTTTTAGTCTTACGGAAAAATTGAAGCTTTTTTGAGATACTTAATACTTCTCTTGAAATGTTTTAATGTTTTTTAGGTGAATTGTGTTTTAGGGATTTTCTTTTTACTTTAACTGTTTGTATACATTTTATTTATTTTTTTTGTAGCTTGTTTGCCTGAGAAATGTCTAATAAAATCAATAAATAATTAAAACTGAAAAAAAAAATGAAGAAAATGAATTGCCTATCTGACACACCTTCCGACGGTCTCTTTGAGTTCTGTCATCAAAGGCTCAATGTCGTAGCCAACATGTGGCCTAGTATTAATGTTGGGGTTCAGTCTAAACACCTGCACAGCCTGGGTCACATTCCGAAGTGCCTGCTTGACACTGTAATGAGACTGGGCTGAGCAGATTCGTCCCAGGCTGTGTGGTATAAAGGCTTGAGTGTACGTTGTTAGGAAGATGGTGTTATCCACATCGCTCATCACTAGCTGTGGGTTGTACCTGTAAAAGAAAGAAAATATACTGGTCACACTATTAAATTAAAACAAATATTCTGTTAATATTTTAAAACTGTCAATCTTAGATGCAGTATACAACATACTGTAGATTCTTCAATAATTTTAATCCATTTAGAAAAGTATTTTTTTTAAACAAAAAAATAACGGAAATATAATAAATAATGGATTATATAAATGTTGGATCAATGCACTGTACTGTAGTGGATCAAACAAGCTGGAAAGAGATAGTGAGACACGACAGGCATTATTGATGGTGACTATTACATTAAAACCAAAGCCGTAGTAATTCTGCAAAAAGGGAAGCTGGGCATATATGAGGTTGGCCATCTCAACACCAATTTACTGTCGGTAAATGTTAAACGGAGAAATTAGTATAAGAATGTAGCCGTATTGTATACTTTAGTACAGAGAAGCTGTAATAATTTACTCATAAATATGGTAATAAGGTGATGCCAGTAAATGACACACCATTGTAAAGCTAATAATGTGGAGAATATGAAGATATTAAAAAGTCAATTTTTTTTGTTCTGGCCACTAATACTGGTTTTGGCATGACAAGTACCATAGTAATTCATTCACAAAATAGACTTACAACAAACAAAGTAGATTTTGAATAAGTTAAATTTGGAAGTGGTGGTAATATAGACACTAACTTTGAAAACTCTTTGTCTTTCTTCTTTATCTTGGCTTCTAGTTCCTCTAAACTACCAGCTCTGGCAATGTGCCACGATATCTTCAACATGGCAGAAGCATCGACATCGTCCAAGAGCTGCTTAGCACTCTGGAACACCTCTGCAGAATTGTTGGAGATGACACTGACTGGACAGTGGAATGGAAGATGATATCTGGTGTACAAGAGTAAAAACAGTGATCGGATCATTGACATGGTTGTGCTTGACGTCTATTTAAATTAACAAACTAATATCATTATCAATAAAAAGAATATGAAAAAAAATTGTTGGTGCACCAAAATCATAGAACTGTTTGTAATTAAATACATTCATAATAATTCATTAATATTTTCTCAAATGTGTAATAATGAAATTAAATAATATTTAATAGCAATGTGAATTACCACAAACAAATGCATATCAACAAATTTAATATATGGTAATCACATTATATAAAAATTGCTATGAAACCAATCCATAAGCACAAGTGAGTTTACAGTACCTGTCTATCAGAGTTCTTGGCAGGCTGAATGTATGTGATTGGGTAGCTGGTGAGCCTTGGCAAGCTACTTCATCAAACAACAAGAAAGTCAGAACATAAGCTGAGCAAATCCGCACTCTTTCCTCATGTCTTTTAAGCAAAGCACCTATAAAAAAGGCAAGTTAAGAATGACTATTATCATTATCATCACTTATCATCGGCACTGACTTTCATGAGACAAATGATATTAAAGGGATAATACAGTATTAAAAACATGCAGATTTAATTAATTTGAGGGAGATGGGTAATTTTTTGGAAGATTTTTGCTTGGTTGCGCAAGTGCAGGAGGCCGTCGGGGATTTTGGGAGACTCTTCCAACTTACTGAGACTTGGGACCCCTGTAGTTTGTTCCCAGTCGTTGGTTCCAAATTTTAAAAAAAATAATACTCATTCTAAATAAATTATAATAAAACAAAAAGAATATAATATTAATAAATAAATAAATAAACTATCCTTATTATACCATAATGATAACCAAATTATAGTAAAGTGTAATTTTAGTAAATATCACATTTTTTTTTCAACATGGACTAAGTCTCATTAATGAGGTTTATGGATTGTTTTGGCGACAAAAAAAAATTATTCTGTGACCGTGACAGGAACTGAACCCAGAACCCTGGAACTGGAAGACAAGCAAATTAACCATCAAATTATACAACTCTACTTAGTTACTGATAATCATCAGAAGTTATACTTACATCTTAGTATAGTGCAGTAAATATTCGGTTGATGAGCAAGCCTGTGCCTGAGGCTTGGTTGTTTGTGAAACAGGTGCCTAAGGCATACCAGGCCAGGCCCTATCACACTCTGCAGTTCTATCTATTACATAATAAGAAAAATATCATTATGAATTCAAGTATGGTACGTATTGAAAAACATAGCTTCCACTGACATTCTACGCCAGCATCATCATGAGGCATGGCATCCCATCACCAGTGTACCATCACATTATTATGTTTAAAGACAGATTCTGGAGGGAAAACAAATTTAGATACCGTTGTACAACTGATTTGTCTAAGACAAAAAAAGGTGTGTTTGAATAAAATCTTGGAAATGGTTACTGAGATACAGATTTTTGAATTTTTAAAAACCTGAGGAAAAAGAGCCATAACCAAACTTTTATCCATGCTTTTATTCAGAGTAATTAGCATTAGAATGTAACAGTACTCTATACTTACAAGAAATTTTAACTACAATAGAAAGGTAGATTTGGACTTGTGTGTGTAATCGGTTGTTCAATAACAAACCAATGTCACAGTAATCGTCTTAGTTTGTTTTGAAAAATCCATTTATTTGATTCCTCACACACAATTTGAATCCAGTCGTATACCAGGACTAGACACCAAAGAATGCTCATTGATTATCAGGAAGAATTTAAAAAAATAATGAGGCATAAAAGAGGAAAACAGTTGAAAATTGTTTTTCTGTGGCTTGATAATATGCACTGTATCATTTGAACAGTGAACCTGTATCATATTGTATCTTGTCTACATTATCAGCGTGGAATATTGCTTACTTCCTTGCACTTACCTGGTCTGAGATACTGATTTTTGTAGAGAGTGCTTGATTCAAGATGTCCATGATATGCTCCATGCCTCCATTGGATAAGAATGCACTATGCAGTGTGACATCTAATAATATATTCAATATTTTTTTAAAGATACCCAGTCTAGTTAGATAATACAGTAATTCTTTATAACAAGACTACTACTACATTTATTCGAAATAAATGACTCGGTTTGAATAAACGCCCTCCTCAAATAAATGCCCATCCAGCACCTCAATAATTGGAATAAATGCGTTTATAAATAAATGTTTATGCAATAATTAAATTAATTTAGATAATCTTAATAATTCATGTAAATTATCTGAAATAATATAATAACAAATATATTAAAGGTAAAATATATACATTATTCATCATGGTCATGGATGTAGTTATATTTAATTATACTTTGATATCTCACCTTGTAATAATATTGCTATCTGTTCTAATGCTGATTTACGAAGCTTTAATTCTGTCTCTGTGTTTACAAATATATTGTACAGTTGTAGTAGACGATCAACCTGTAAAACCGACATTAATGATAATGTATTTGTTTAACTACATGTTTAAAATCAATTGGGTATTCAACAAAAAATGCCACTCTACTTTTATTAACAAAAATTATCCTTTCAGTGTCATAAATTCCTACTTGACGTATTTCCGAGCAGTAAAGAAATGGACTAGGAATCCCTCTTTGACATATAAAATATAAACACTGCTCACAATGTTGTAACACAACTCTAAATAAACTTTTATTCTGTACAAACTCCAACAAGAACCCGGTCTCAAAACAACACAATAACATTCACATAAACATGTGTTTCAAAAAGAGCTCCTCGAAAGACCAAGCTCTCACTTTACATACATTAGCCCTAGAACTCCAGAGCATTCATTCAAGAGCATTCTATATTGCCTAAGTTCCTCATTGGTCACATTACATCATAATTAACCAATAGGCAATTGCTTTTAGTACTTCAACATCTAAACATTTCCACATGGTCTCTCATGTTCCTCTAATTACCAATGTGGAATTACAGTGTTTGTTTGGTCATTAAATGTTATTCTAGAATGTTCTATGTATTAAATATGTTACAATACGGAAAGGAATGGTAATTTATTACATCAGAGAGCAGTACAATTGACCGTTGATCTGCTTCTTGGATATTGCTGATAAGGTCAAACAAAACGACAGTGTGAAAGCGTATGCACATAAAGTGCATTTGTGGAACAAAACCTGTGTTTGTAGAACACACATGTATTATTGGCCCAGTTCTCATTCGTCAGTTGTTAAGTTTTGTAGCGGTACTACTGTAGCTACTCTCATAATAATAGTAAAAATAATACGAATACTTATAGAGCACCTAATCCGCCTCAAAGGAAGAGTACGCTCACGGCGCTTAATTCACTACAGGGGCTGTATGGACCGGTACACCGAAGTTAACTCCCTACTCGTCTCAAATGGTGTATTGGGTTCTTTAAATTAAACATGAGCCAAATTGTGTATAACTGGGCCTACGGTTTATATTCATTATCAAAGAAGACTTGTTCCACCACCAAAACCATAGACAACCTGCTCTGAAATTTCTGAAACCATAGGCAACCTGCTCTGAAATTTCTGGCTGTACATTGCATAGCCCCTGCCTTAACCACTTGGCATCCAACTGACAGTACACTTACACAATTTTTTGGAGCCTTCAGGATGTGTCACAGTGAAAATTAACTAGTTGTGTACACAAAAATTCACCCCCAGCATTTTTTCCTCTTGTATGCAAATGCATGTTAATGTTGTGAACTCACCTGAAATAATGATTTTTGCTCTTCCTCCTCCAGTGCATCGGGATTCTCCAAGATAAACAGAGATGAGAAATCTCCCAGAGGATTCTCCAGGAAGGATGGAAGCTTGAACTCAGCATCTACCTCCAATGTCAGATGCCATAACACTGCTCTTAAGCATTCTGATCTTACACTATTTAAGAAAAATGTTATCATAAAACGCTTAAGTTTCTGAAGAAAATGCACTGCCCAAATTTAGCATATTTGCAACAGTAGGTAAACATTATATGCATGATCATTAGCCGGCAGCGAACTCTGAGATCGAGTGGCAGCCTGAGCTGCCCAATCCAGAGCCGCCGCAAACTTAGTCAGGGGCCAGCGCGCAAAAATCTCGCAAGGCTCAGCCTTGCTGCACGAGCGACACAACGGGCACTCCGAGTGCCGGTCAAGCTTAACACTCGGCTTGGGGCCCCCACACGCCGAGCATAAAGTCTTGCGAGCGGACATGGAAACCGATCGAGACTACAATAAAAATAAAAGGATATCTTGTCAACCACTAGTTGAAAATAAATCCAAGGGCGAAAATAAATCCAAGAACAGAATTGTGCTTGAAAAGTCCTGCTAGTTTTCCGAAGGCTAGACGATCGACTTCGAACAACGTCGAAAAGGGAATGAGGACGTTTGTTAGGGAGACGGTTCGCACGTGGCGCCTTGGGTCAGACTGTTCCATTTTTCGAAGGGGTGTTCCGTTTTGGGAACAATGGCAATTAGTCGGTTATCCAGGTAAGTATTCACAAAATAGACGTAGCATATTTGCAACAGTAGGTAAACATTATATGCATGATCATTAGGTATATGAAAAGCATATCACTTTCAGAACAACTACAATCACACGGCTCATATGTTGCAGTAGAAATTGAAATTCAAGTCATTGATATCTTCAGATATTTGAGTATGCAATTGCTAAAATGAGGGGTCATTCATGAAATTGGACATTTCAACTCAAGATATACATGCTTTTGATAAGATGCCTTCTAAAATTATTTGTGCATACATCGTTTAATGGAATTAACTACTAAAATAACAATTAATAAATAGTTTGTTGACCAGAACTAAGACTTCGAAAAAAATGATATTGAAATTGGACATTTAACTGTTGATTTATAGTGAAAATTTGTAATGTTTAGGCTAATATTTAGGTCATATTTTATAGCTGATTTACTCAATACTGGCAACAACTCAGCCATTTTGCCACAACATGTTTTCTATTAGCAACTTGGTTTCTGCTCCATCTGATTTTTCAGTATTTTTACACAATGCCTTTTTTGCAATAATAGAAAAAATGAAAAAGGATATAATAATTATTATTATCATACCTGCTATGCTTAGAAAACATCATCCGTAGAACCCCACGGAACTGTTCTAGCTTTGGAGATATGCCATCAGGTCCTAGATCAGTAAAGAGATCAATGACACATCTGCCAAGTGGAGTATGTCTGCTAGCAAAGGCCTGAGAATGAAAATATAAAATCATAAAATTAAAAGAAAAGTTAGGTTTTATTGTTGGCATTAAGATGAACAAAAAAAAATTCCAGAAACACAAAAGACACTAATAATAATAATAACAATAATAATAATAATAATAATAATAATAATAATAATAATAATAATAATAATAATAATAATAATGATGATGGTAAGAAGTGCGAATGAAGCTATGTGTCACTTTATTTAAAATTTTGAATGTCAAGATGTCCAATTTCCTATTAATTTACCCACTCCCACAGTTTACCATGCACTTTCATCTTGCAAACTTTAACCATGTCTTTCTTACCTGAAGAAATGGTAGGCTCACAATCAGTGCATCCTTAAACAGCTGCCAAAGGTCATGGGTCATAAGGAGCTCTCCTTGTAGTAAATGCAGCATGATGTTACTTGCAGCAGCAGTTGTCTAAATATAAATTAGGAGAAATTTACCAATTTTATATAATTTTACAACTGATTTAGCATACTCAGTTATACAATATTAGTCAACAATTAATTGTTATTTTTGAAATTACGAATCTTGTGCGTGCTTGTGATATAGATGCTCTCAACTAGATTTGTGATGACGTTGCACTGTTAAGATTATTGATATGAAAACACCATTAACCAGTTGATTTTGCATTGCCAAACTCCACTAGCTCAAAACAATTTTTGAATACCAAGGCAAAACAACGTGTCTACGTTGTAGATACGTTGTTTTAGCCAGTAATATTGCAGTTACGTTTTTTACCACAGAACGTCACTAGATTTTAAGTTTTAAGATAGGTGGTACTATCGTTGAAACGACTCATTGTTGAGACCTGAAATTTTCACAGGTGATTCAGAAGTGCTTAATATACTCCCAAATTATATTATCTCAAAATCGACAAAAATATCAGTCACATTGTCTTGTCTCGAGACGGCGAAATGTCAATTATAATAAAATTTGTTCTCACAAACACAAGATAATCTTGTTCCCACAAGATGTTGTTCGTATAGCACCTACAAGAGTGTATACTTAATGTTGTGATACTCTCTAAAATACTCACAATGGGGCTGTATAAGCCATTATGACATATTTCTTGGAGGACATTGGGATGGACCAGGAACCTGATAGGTTTACTTGAATCAATGTTACCATGGCTTGCTTTCTCGATGTTTAGATTTTCCTAGAAAATAAACAGACACATATTGATGATGGCAAAAGCAGACAAGTACTAGCTGGGTTATATAGTGTACTTGAGGCATAGCAAATGTCAGGCAACAATTACAGGGGATATCCAGTGTACACATAACATCTACTGCTGGAGGACTTCTATCAAGACAATTTTCATTGTCCAGCCCTGTTATATAAATAAAGATATTCCACTATCTACAATTGTTAAACAACTGAACATTCTGTATTTTTATATTCTCTCACTTCTCTGCTCCTATTCCTACATACCTTCAACATGACAAAAATTTCATTATAGACATGCTCACGCACACTCTCCACTGGGAATGACAACAGATCAGTCAAGATTTGATCTGCTCTATTCGCTTCTCCATTGTCTTGCAAGCAACTATAAACAAACACATGGATAAATTGTTAAACAACTGCAGTTAGTAAATTAAAGAACAATTTGAGCAAGAAAAATAAACAGAGACAATTATAATGGTTTGGGATAACAACATAGGTGGAATGACAATGAAAGACGCAGAGCTTGGAAAACTACAAGACAGAACAAATATAATAATAATAGGTAAAGTGGTGGCTCCAGAAATGTGCCAACAGGGGATCCGACAGAGGGTCTAAACCAAGATGCTGACTTGGGCCTTGATAAGAGTCCTGGAATAAAATTCCTAGTCAGGTTTAAATGGATGATTGAATGGCTTAGGATGGCTGCAAATTGTGCTTTCAGACCACAATATCAGGGATAGGCAGTGACAACCTGCATCTCAGTTAGTTTTACTGAAAAAGGTCGAAAGAGATTGCAGCAAATAATTTTAGATTGGCGGCAAATAAATGTTTATAGTCCAACAGCCTTGTGGTGGGGGAATCATGCTTCTTAGATGTGGACGAAATTTCTCCCTTACCCATGCTGGTACCACCACTGCTTAAGTAGGGAACGCCTCAAGCTAAAATAATTTAAGCTTACAATATTGATAGAAGCTGAAGTGTCTTCTTCACCATTTCTAGACAACCATGACAAGACAGGCCCAGCATCGCATCATTAGCATACATCAGGAGCTTATCAACTGTGGTGTTCTTTAAAAAAAAAATGGAAATCACACTACTATTAGAAATGGCCTTGGTTGCTTCCAAACATCTTTACACAGTATTTTACTAGTTATTTAGGCCTATATAAAAGCAAAGGATAAATGCAATGCTCAAGGCGAATGATTGAGAATGCCATTAACATTAACTACAAACCTTATTGCTAACTTCTTTAAATAACGTGTGGTAGGCCTCAAATGAATCGCATACAGACTTGGTACGTTGAAGCATTCTCAATTTCTCAGGGTCTACTCTCTCCAGCAAGGCTAAGAGTTCATCATTCATGAATGAATATGTTGTTTTAAAAACAGGGTCAAAGTTTAAAACTGTAATGATACGGATTATGCTTTCTGGCAAACAGTCTGGAATCTGAAATCATAGTACAAAGCAGAAAGTATATAAAACTCTCCTATATAGGCCCTAATCATTATTTTTATGTATTGACAAATATTTCACTGCACACACACACACCTTTCTGCACACATGCCTAGTCCCGGAAAGTACTGTAACACTGATCCTCTGAAGCCTATTTTTGACCTAGGGTCATGATATGGGTACTAACTTGGCATCAGCCAGGTGAAAGCTGCAGAAAGCGGTGCAGCCTTACAATATGGCTCCACAGCAAATCAAATATGCATTAATACTATGATGACTGTCAAAGGATATTATTCAAAGTCTTGAAAACTTATGCATAATTTTAAAAAAGTCAAAATAAATTGTATATTTCAAGGAAATATGAATTAGAGAATAGAATTATAATATGTATAATCAGTTAGCTAAACATATACAATTATAAAACTAGTTTATTGTAATTGAACATTTCTTTTTCAATTGTGACTGCACACTTACCAAACACACACAGATATATAATACTTACTTTTTCTAATGGTACAAGTTTCATGATCAATTTGATGGTGACTGCAGCTGAGGCCACAAATGCTAGCCTGTGCTCTGTCACAAGGTTCAAGTCAGTAGGTGCAGAGCAAGCACTGTGGTGTCTCACCACACTCTCACCAATACTATCAAACACCTCGGTAATCTTCTCCACCTTGCAGAGATAAAAAAAAAACAAAGGGTAAATCAACTACTGGCTGAGCAGTTAAGGAAAGGGCGCAGCAAAGTACAGCCATACTATCGGCGCTGGTTTGAAAGGCACGAATTGGTTTTGGTGGTGGAACCAGTCTTCTTAGATAAGGACTGTAGGCCCAGTATAAACAATTTGGCTCATGTGCATTTTAAAGAACTAAGTACATCTTTCAAGATAAGTAGCGGGTTAACCTGGTGTACTGGTCCATTCAGCGCTTGTTGTGGACAGACAATTTACCGGGTAGCTCAGACAGAAGAAACCCTTAGGTGAGAAATGGACCAGTACACACTGGGTTAACCCCCTACTCGTCTTTAAAGATGTACTGGGTCCACACCTCAAGCATTTGGAGACTGTTTTGGTATAAAGTGCTATGTATATCTAACTACATTATATTACTAATATGACTGAATGAAAACATTTATTCATAATCAGTTCTTAAATCAATTATAAATGTTATTTATAAAAGAATTAATACAAGAGACCTTATGAGATGGAAAGAAGTAAAGGTAGTTGCCAAAACTTTGCAACTGGAAATAGTTTAGTAACTTTCTTACACCAGTGAGCGAACGAACACAACAAAAAAATGCTAGCTTAATAAAAGCTAGCAATGAACTGGCTTTAGGAAAAAAGGAAGATTTAAAAAAAAAAAGTTTGTCATGCCTATGAGCACCTGAGCCCAGTTAATGCTAGCAACAGGTTATGCACCTACATTCATTTAATTATGCATATAATAATTCCAATATTCAATATTTTAAATAAAATAAGTGTGTTGCCCAAGCACAGCAATATATTTTTGCAAAAACATAAATGAATCAAAAAGCCAAAAAAAAAGACTTTCTAAATTTTGGGTTGGTTGGACTTAATTTTTCATAATCAATTTTATAATACATGTAAAGAATTAGTACCAGAGACTTTCCAATGACGCTACCATCTTCCCAAATCTCTGTCGTCATGGAAATATCAATGAGTTCCAAGCATTCATGCAGGAGATCCATAGCAACAATGAGGAGTTGTGAATCCCTGCACTCAAGATGAGGAGCAACATGTACAATGGTGTCAATAACAAACTGGGGCAACGTCATCTGGTTCATCTGAAGTAGAACTGCATCCTCTAGGTCAGCCTCAACCTCCGAACCAGAATCAACTGAAACATTCGCAGCAAATACTGATGATGGTCTGCTGAAAAATGTATGAATGTTTATCATATAATATGACATTTGAATAGCACCAATAGTTTACATTACTATATACTGTATAGCCTTTTTTTCGCGCACCCTTAATCTTCATGATAAACGAGGATCACAAAAAATATGCTAGCTAGCTGAAGTAGGTCTGCCTAAGCTTGTCTAAAAATTGGGAGGCTAGGAAATTGCTAAAACAATCTGAGAAACCCACTAAAATTGGGAGCTCCAGCTATTATAAAATAGGGTAAAAAAACATAATGGTAGGTTAATGTTAAAAAATGACTGGAAATTGTAAAATCCTGACAATAAAAGTTTGCGAAATATTAAAGATTGTAAAATCGTGAAAATATAGGGACGCAAGAAATAAGGGCCATACAGTATTCAATAATTTTTCTATATCTGCTATATTCGTAATTAAACCCACTTTTAAAAATGGTCTAATAAATTCAAAGAAGTTCTGTTATTGATGAAATTATATTTGATTATAAAACATAATAGCTATAATGCTCTTTTCATAATTGTCAGGATCAGGTAATTCTTTTAGTATTTGTTATATACTGTATACACATGTATTATGTACACTTTCTGTATTTTCCACTATAGATGGCGCTACACATGAACCTAATTTTACATACGCTAATGTGGAAGAATCACCATCTTGACCATCTCCTTGATGTCTTCGCTCTTGACCAACTACAGAAGGCCTTGAATCGGAGGAGAGTGCTGATTGGCTAATAGAGCTGACAGACCGTCCAGTCATTACTGATGATGATGGTGATACGGAACCTTAAAGAATGAGTGAATTAAATGTACCTATAATAAATATAGTAGCTAATAGAGGAATGTAATCTAAAAGGCTAAAATTGATAAGATACATTGAATGATATTAGAGTATATAATTATGTATTAAGCATCTGTTGCATGAGTAAACACAGCTTAAACAATAATAACTCACCACACTTGGAATTCAAATTGTGTTATGCAACTTACTTTGTTGAGGGCAGTATAAATCAGGGTCATGGTAAAATTTGACCCTTTCTTGAAGCAGACGACAAAGGTTAATCAGGCAATTCATGGCAGCTATAGCAATATTAAGACTGTCAGCCTGTGGAGGCTTGATGCTAACCAATGAAAATATACTCTGAAAAATAATATAAAGTTCTGTTAAATTATTCTATATAAATTATGGTAACAAGATATACTCAATGTACCAAATTTTGAAAAATATGTGAATATGTGGCAAAGACAAGCCAAACCAGTCACTCGTCGCAAATTGTGTTTCAGAGAAAATAGCAAAAACATGCTGGAATGTAAAATTTTTAAAAATCTATTTTATTTCACTAAACTAAGGTTTATGTATCTATACATCATGCTGTGCTGTTATTTTTCCTAATTTCAATGTTAAAACAACACTTTTTAATGATTTTATGATAGTTTCTACATGAGAAATGCCTGAAATCATAAACTTTAAAGGCTAATTTCTCATATATTGTTCTTCAAACTGCTGTACGCATAAATGCTTGTAACTTCAGAAGGAAATGTTGAATTTGAACGATTTTTTACCATTTTATAGCTCTTATTTTACTCTTTAACCCTGTAAAAATCGATTTTTGCGATGAGTGACTGGTTTGGCTTGTCTTTGCCACATATGATGTTAAGGGAATTTTGATTGAGGGACAATGCAATGTAACTCAAATTTTGCTATAAAAGTTAAAATATAATATATGCTTTTAATATATTCATTAACTGCTGAATTATAAATAAATTTGTATGATTTTAAAAGCGAATTTTGAATGTGTTACTATGAGCAAGGTGTTCCAGTTAGATGAGGGCATAAAGACAGGCCTGGAAAAACTATTTTTGTGCCTCCAACCATGAAAACTATCTTGATGAAATGCCTCCAGTACCAAATGTTATCTTTACACTATTATAGCGAAAAAGTAGTACATTTAGTTGTTTGGAGCAAGCAAAAATATGGAATTCAATTATGCATTAATTTGTGCTGTGTAGAAAAAAAAAATGTTTATTTTTCTAAAATGACTCCGGGTTAAAGGTTAATGCTTCCGACCGCTAGTCACTCATTTTTCTAGCCCTGCATAAAGATGTCACATCCGTCTACCAACCAGTGAAGCAATAGGCGGAATGGAGAGCACATGCATTAACAGCAGAGATGTATACGGTGGGAAGGAGGGGACTTAAATATATGAATGGTATTATCCAAAATTCCAAAAAAGTCACTTTGTAATTAGTATTGTTGTTGTGATCAACTCACCTTCACTAAGGCTGTTCTTTGAAGAAAGATTTCAGCAGGGAAGTCTTGCAGTACAACATCGCTAATAAACTCACAGGATGTGATAATAAGAGCAGGACTAGTGCTACACAATGAGCTGAAAGAGTCACAGAATCATTCAATCAATCAATCACTAACTAATCATCACAATCACTCGAAGTTAAAACATTTATTTTCAACTATTTCTTTTTACAAACTGCCTTCACACCAGGAAGTGTCTCCTTTGAGTCTTTATTTTTCAAGGGACCATCAAAACTTTATAATAATGATAAATAAATAATAATAATAATAATAATAAAATCATTTATAAAGCCCTTTTCTAGAAAAAAAATAGTATAAAGTTATATAAAATTTAAATACCTTAAGAAATAAAAATGTCTTAAGTTTGATTTGTGTTGGAAGGAAGCGCATTCCAAAACACACAAGACCAAATTAAAAAAAGACACGGTCACCGGACACCCGCTTCACGGTCACCTGGCACCCGCTTCACCATGGATCGTGCAATAACATAACATCCCTTTCAGATTTAAGCCCAATTCTTTTACATTCAAGAAGCCTAATAAAATTCTGGAGATACTCTGGCACTAACCTGGCAAGACAGTTGTGTACATGGACTAGAACCTTAAATTTTTTCTTTGCTCGAACGGAAGTCAATGGAGAGAGGTCATGTACTGACACTCCCTGGTACCTGGTATACCAATCTGTCAGGTCGATAATTACTTATTATATTTTATATCTTATAGATATTAATCCTGGAAAATACTTATGCTTCTAAGTAATACTCTACCTAATCACCTCCGCCAAGGAGGTAAATATGTATTTACTGCTGTCTGTCTTTCTGATAAAAGTATTACCATAAAATTTAGTGGAAAGAAGAAAGACACCATTCAATTTTCGGAAGAAAAGGTCAAAGAACAAGGTCAAGGTCACTGAAATTCAATTACGTATTTACCCTCGAGTATAAAAGAAAATAATGTAATCGGCCCTTGTATTCAAGCAGCACTCAAAAATATAATGTACCTAAATATGACAGGCGATTCCATTATTTTCTTGAGGGTATGCTGCGATTTTGCCCATCATACACAGCTTGCTTATTGTTGGTATTCAGGCACAGGGCAGAGGTATGGAGTGACTGCTCTACTTTATATATAATTATCATCAATACCAAAAAGATCTCAAAAAAATATTAACATTAACACTATCTTCAAGTATTCAATGTTGTAGTGGAAACAAAAATTAAACTTGTTTTTCTTTCTAGTGAACATTAACAACTGATGAATCAACCTGCAAACCTGTTGGTCTTTGTGAGGACATGCTTATCTGTTTCTGTCAGCAATAACCAAGGAAATGTTGAGAATTTGAATCCACAGATCTTATCACGACCTAAATGGAAATGTTGAAACAATAAATCTGGATTAATGTATAGAAAGAAAGAATCTATATCCTTCTTATACATAATGCTGAGCATATTCAATTTATATTGAAATATAATAGCTTCAATATCATCAATGCACTTTGTATAAAAGAGCATTGAAAGAAAGAATCTATATCCTTCTTATACATAATGCTGAACATATTCAATTTATATCGAAATATAATAGCTTCAATATCACCAATGCATTTTGTATAAGAGAGCATAGTTACCTATACCATCATGAAAGTGCAGAAATATAATGGTTTTGTTTTTTTTGTTGTTTTTTTTTTATGATTTTTAATTCTAAAAAGAAATAGTTGTAATTTTAAGATCCATCATAAACTATAATGGTGATGCATAGGTCCACTTGAAAATGTTACATTTTTTGCATTGTACTGAAAAAGGGATCTAATGTAAGTGCTTTTATTTCACAAGCATGTCAAAACAAAAAGCTATGCACATAATAAACGTCAGGGATTCAAAACCTACCGGTATCTGAAAATAACTAACAACATAGATTATCAAATTTTCACAGACACGATTGAATATCAATCCATATTTAGTTCCTATGAAGCAACACTACAACACACTGTGCTGGCCATTAATCCATATTTAGTTCCTATGAAGGAACACTATAACACATTGTGCTGGGCATTAATCCATATTTAGTTCCTATGAAGAAACACTATAACACACTGCTGGGCATTAATCCATATTTAGTTCCTATGAAGGAACACTATAACACACTGTGCTGGGCATTAATCCATATTTAGTTCCTATGAAGGAACACTATAACACACTGCTGGGCATTAATCCATATTTAGTTCCTATGAAGGAACACCATAACACACTGTGCTGGGCATTAATCCATATTTAGTTCCTATAAAGGAACACTATAATAACAAACTGTGCTGGGCATTAATCCATATTTAGTTCCTATGAAGGAACACTATAACACACTGTGCTGGGCATTAATCCATATTTAGTTCCTATGAAGGAACACTATAACACACTGTGCTGGGCATTAATCCATATTTAGTTCCTATAAAGGAACACTATAACACACTGTGCTGGGCATTACTGGGTAACTAAAAGTGACAACCAAATGTAGCAGGCGCCCTCTATCAACTGCGTACAGAGGTGTATCGTTCATTTACTCTCACAATGAGCGAATTGTGCTCTTTTTAGTTTCTATACTCTTTGTTACAACCCATTCTACCTTGCTGCTGCTTATCTTGTACTGTACTTGTTTGTTTGCAAGGTGAGAGCTGTTCTTGTAATGCTGGTGATGTGAAGAACCCTCTCTGTAATGGCACCTGTCTTAATATGTCTTCCAAATGTGATTCTACTTTATCAACTGAAACAGGTATATCTGAAATGTCACAATCAAAAATTAATTTGTCTACCAATATGTTGTGTAATTTTAAAGCCAATCAAACTGAAAAAACACTTTGTATTTAAAAAATACCATGAGGCTTAAAATCTAACCTTGTTTGGGACCTTTTTCAGGATGTTGATAGACACATTCTTGGTCATGCTTGGATGGTTCTGGTAGGCATAATAACTTTTCCTGAATTTCATCCACGATACGTTGGAGATTTACATCTAGATCAGCTCGCAGTTGAGACAGAAACTCAAGAGCACCAACCTCAAGGAATAGCTCAGCCGCAGTTGGATGCTAGAGAGATTGAAACAATTAAGTGCCTTTCAGGCCTTGTTTTGGGTGATTTCAATCAAAAAAAAAATTATTTACACTAACATAAATCTTCAAAATATCGTACAAGGACAATACAAGTGAGAATTCATTATTCAAATTATGTTAGTAAAAGTAAAGATAGAGAGTAATATTCAGATATCTACTATTACATTAATGAATTCCCCAGACAGAAAGAAAAAAGTATTTAGTACAAGTGGAATGCACCACTTTAGTGAATGTCGCCGATAAAAAGGTGTCACTAAATAATAGATTATATAATGTATATAATAAAGTGACATGTTAACCCCAAATATTAACCCAAGTATATAAGTCAGTTAAGTTTACAATAATAAGTGACGAATAAGGAATATTCAATCAAAACATTTTAGCATGTACTGTTTATAAGTTTGTACTTACTGCTTGTTTTTGTGAACTGCTTGTGTCGAAAATTATAATAAAAAATCATTGGCTTATTTGCAAAAGTCTTTATGAAATCATAGTTAAAGACATCAGGGGTGGCACCAGGATTTGCCCGACGGGGGGCCGAGGTCCCCAACGAGGGGCCGTTGCCCTGACGAGGGGTCAGATTGCCCCGACGAGGGGTCAGATTTCCCACGAAAGCAAAGTGGGCGTGGTCGAGCTTCGATTAAAAGGTTTCGAAAGTGGTCCTGGGGGAGAAGCCCCTCAAAATTTTTACAATTTAGGGGTTTCAAAGGCTTACTGTATTTAATCGATTTTATAGTCTACTAATGTAGAAAACACACATGATTTTTTTTTCTCCCTGACGAATTGTGCTTTTTCTCCCGCTGGCGCCACCTCTGAAAGACATGTAGCAATATTTAAAATTATGCTACTCAGCCTTGCAATATTTTTGTGAGTATACCAAAAAAGAGGACAGGCCAGTGAGATGGAAAATTGATAAAGAAGATTTCCTTCATAAGTGGAACAGATTAATTTTGGTATAAGTTTTACAGCTGGAGAGCTAAGTGTAAGTATAAAAAAAGCGTACCTCTTTCAAAAGAGACATTCAAAAATTAATAGTTTAGAGATAAAAACAATGGTCGTCAAGGTTTACAATGTTCACATTACTATTAATCATATGCAATTATGGTCAAGTTCTGAGGACCCTATAGAAAATAGAGGCCTAAGGAGCCACTATTTCCTGAAAAATTGCCAAAAGACCGCAGCACTGAAGGCAGATTGAAGGAAATAATGAGTCCTAAAGGTTTGGTCTATTTTCTATAGAGTCCGAAATAACTTGAAAAATCAAATCCAATCCAATCAGGTCATTTATAAAGCGCATTTCTTTGCAGATACGAAGCGTTGCACTCACCTCACAACCTACACGCAGTCATGATCATTGCCTAACCCAAGCACAAAACAAGTAAACAAATCAAAGAAGCAGTGGCAATGCCACTAAATAAAAATAAAAATGAAGATAATTAAATAAAGAGGTGAGTTAGACCTAAAAACTGCCACAGTTGGTGAAGATTGAATGTGCACTGGAAGGTTATTCCTTATGAGTAGCCCCTCACACGGAAAAGATTTGTTACCAATACATTGTTAAATATAAGCCAGTCACTCTGTTTTATATATTTTTGGGCTATTTTATAATATAATCAAACTGCTTGTTAAGGTGACAGGTTGCTCATGATCAATACATTAACTGGGAGTGTGTAGTAGCTGCGGGTATGAGAATGATTAGCTAGTAGTAGGCGCACACTGAAAATCTTCACAGCTCTTTGCGATACGATGAAGATGAACAAATTTATTGTACTTGATAAAGATCATTTAGCTGTAGGTAGGCCTAACCTCCTAGTAGACATTTTTAAAATAGATTAAAATGTATTGTAAATATTTTTAAATAATTATTTCAGCTTACATTATTCTTTTCAGTATTTTTTTTTTTATTAGTAAATCATCTTGTTATCAATAAAATATTCATCGTGATGTAAAACCCCAGCTTTAAAGATTTTGCACACAAGAAGCGAAAAAAAAATAGCAGGGTGCACTATATTGAATTAACAGCCTGCTTGGGGATAGTAAAATTTATGTGCAAATGAAAATGTCATGATGGACTATAGTTTATAGCTGTACAAAACCAATAATAAAGATTTTACAAATTTAAATTCACAAAATTTCATAAAAAAATTAGGTGATTAAATTCATTACCTTTACTAGCTCCAAAATTAACTTCAACGCATCGTCTTTGTTAGGACATGATGGAAAATTAAACCACTCAAGCAAACGAGTTATAAGGTGGCGCTCTTGAACCAAATCACTAAGACAGACCACATTGTACTTTAGTTTACCAATGATGTTTTGCAATGCTCTTACACGAATCTCTTCTAAATTGTGTCCTGAAATATTAATAAGATAAAATAATATACTGAATTTGTTTTGATAATTGGTGAAAAACAATGCCAACCGAACAAATTGGATGGCGGGTCACTTCCTCATACTTTTCTAACAATATTGTATACCATATACTCTCAATAAAAAAATAATTTAATATAAAACAAACCAATGTTTTTGAGTACAGGTTCATCCATCAATTGACATTTGTGGCAAAGACAAGCCAAACCAGTCACTCGTCGCAAATTGTGTTTCAGAGAAAATTGCAAAAACATGCCAGAATGTAAAATTTTAAAAAATCTATTTTATTTCACTAAACTGAGGTTTATGTATCTATACATCATGCTGTGCTGATATTTTTCTCAATTTCAATGTTAAAACAACACTTTTTAAAGATTTTATGATAGTTTCTGCATGAGAAATGCCTGAAATCATAAACTTTGAAGGCTGATTTCTCATATATTGTTCTTTAAACAGCTGTATGCTTAAATGCTTGTAACTTCATAAGGAAATGTTGGATTTGAATGATTTTTTTACCATTTTATAGCTCTTATTTTACTCTTTAACCCTGTATTAATAACTCAAAATCGATTTTTTGCGACGAGTGACTGGTTTGGCTTGTCTTTGCCACATTTGTTTTCCTGGGTACGAATATAAAAATTATAACCACCTAATTATACTAGGCCTTTGCTCCCTTAGGCTAGTGCCTGTGTGAGAGAATGTGTGTTTGTAAAGTGTACTGAAGCTTCATATTGTCACCTATACTATAACTTACTGTATTACTATTATTAGACATGCCCAATGATTGATACACCAGATACTGTACTTGCACATGACTTTAAAAGAAAACAGATTGAGTTTTGTTTGATATTTGGTTGTTACTATAGCTTAGGGCCTAGACGGTCTTCAAATTGACCTATTGCAAACCCACAGGCCTTGGGCCTTACAGAAATTCTTAGCTTTTGTTTTGGCCATGCTATCCCTGTAAAGTTTTATACTTGCGCAGATGATACCTAAAAAAATAGCTCAAGATTCCGGTCCTACTAAATACCATACGGAACCACACGACTCCACACGGGACCACACGCATGCAAAATGATTAAAATATTACCACACGAGAGTAGAAAACAACTTGATAATCAATAAAAACCAACTTTTATAGTGATAGTTGTCCGAATTATGGTAAAAATTGACTCTTTTTTAACAAGTTTTTGCCGCCGTGCTTCAGAAGGTAATGCGTTTGACATTGCGTATCTGTAACGCATTGTTGTCTGCAGAAACGCGTTCAACCATAACCTTTTAAATAGGCTTACTACACTCACTACGTACATTACATTTCATCGAGAGACTATTATTTTAAAAATTCAAGGCACACCACATAAAATCTAACGAACTTTAAAAATGTAAATAAGAAAAATGGAAAAATAGTATTGGTTATTATAAGTAGGCCTAATATACAAACTTGTACTATTTATTATTGTTATCACATAATTATTACATTGTAATGTATAGGCCTTTATTTAAACTATGTAGGCTAACTTACAAAATTGGAAAATTTAAAAAATATATACAGTTGACTCCCATGGAAGAGAAAAATTGTCAGTTCAGAATTCATTCCGTTAGTATGATTAGGGGTTTTGTTTGTCGGTTTTTTTATAATATATATTTCAGTGTAACAATTGAGTAAAGGCAATTGCATTAATGTAAAATATATTATAAACAAATAGATTCAGGATGACAAATTTATCCAAAGTAAAGAATCAGATTCCATTGGGATACAAGTAAAATATAAACAAACAGATTCAAGATTCAAAATTATTTATCTATAATACGTTTTTATTTATAACACATTTCATCAAATATCTACTCACTTCAGGACCCCTCATTTTATTAACATTGTATGTAGATAAATTTGTCGACTGCTTCCTGAACCACTGTAGGACTAACGGTACAGTACCGTATTTATAGTTTATTGTCATATACATCTGCCCTGTACTACATAAACCATTACTGTTATTTTATCAAGATACGCCCTTTGTGTTTATGCTAACTAATGTCAAACTATGCAAGATATCACAATAAAGAAGGTGGCAGTGACGATTAAAATTTTCGAGAAGAAATAAATATATTTCTCATTTCCCGAAAGACGTCAACTCTTGTTTTCTGTCAATTGTGATTAGTCTCACTAAAAATATGCCTAAAAATCAGCAACAGCAACACCATGAAGCAACGATGAGAAGCGTACTAACTTATATTTTTTTAATTAACCTTCTATAAACTGATCTCATGCATACTTGACACATTAATTAGCATAAACAGTAAGGGCATATTTTTTTATGAAATAACAAATGTTTTATATTAGATGAGCTGTACAGGGTTGATGCATGCCAATTAGCAGAGGTTACTTATAAAATATACTGTACATGTTAAAATTTAGGCCAACATATTAGCTCAGGACATAGTAACCTAGTAACCTAATAATAATAATAATAATAATAATGAAGTGAGTATATATTTGATGAAAAATGAAAATGTCTTTATTCTTTTCATTTTTTTCTCTTTTTTTTTAGTTTTATAATTGTCCTACTCTGGTAACCCAATAGAAACTTATTCTTTATTTCGACAATTCTGTATTTATCACTTCTAATATATTCTATATTAATCTTCTTTATTCCATTGAAGTACACTGAAATAAAAAAAAAACATGTATGAGCATTGAAAGAAATAGAAAAATTGAATAAATGTATCTAATACATTAATACAAATACATTACAATTCAAATACTCATTTTGTTTTAATGTAGAATAAGTTTATCATCATTCGTGTGATACTGTAGTTTATTTGTATTTGTATATTTCGCATATATTTCGTATACTGTAGATCCAAAATGTCAATGCATTACTGTACTTACCGAGACACAACGGGCAAAAACAAAAAACATACGTCGATTTTTAACAGAATTTGGACAATTATCGTTCTAAAAGTTGGTTTTATTGATTATTAAGCAGTTTTCTACTCTCGTGTGGTAATATTTTTTTTATTTTTGCATCCGTGTGGCTAAGCCTGGTTGCATGTGTGGTTTGTGGACAAAACGGCAAAAAACCAAAACGGCAATGACCAAAAAAGCAATAAACCAAAACGGCAATGATAAGTACCAAAACAGTAACAGACCAAAACAGCAGGGTGCAGGTCAACTCGGCCACAAGTCAACTCGGCCACAGTCAACTCGGCCACAAATCAACTCGGCCACAAAAAGTTCGGCAGGCAGTCAACTCGGCCACAAGTCAACTCGGCCACAAGTCAACTCGGCCACAAGTTAACTCGGCCACAAGTCAACTCGG